TGTGCTCTGTCGTGCAAAAAGTAAGGCACCTTGTTGATAAACCAAAACAAAAAAGAAAAAAGAAGAATGGAAGGACTGTAGCCAATGAAGGACTATTGCCGTTTTTGGTTTTGTTTTTGTTTTTTGGCATTATGTTGATAAAGACTTGGAGGAGACATTTACAACATGGACGTAAAAGAAAAAAACGGAGTTGCAGAAGAGGAGAATACAAGATGGACTTTTCTCTCTCTTGTATGTTTTCATGGACTGTGCTGAGCCCCACATGGGGTCAAACAAAACACGACCTCTAAACGTCTGGGCTGATTCAGTGTGTCATGAGGGTGAGGTGAGGGCATCTCTTGGGACTCAATAGTTATCTGCAAGGTCTTAAGATGCAACTGTAGCATTTTCAACAATGTAGTCAGATTAGCAGTGCAGATTAGATATGGTGGTCATTATAGATGAGTTGTTGAGGTCAGGGACTTTACATTCATGCTGTGAGCAGAGAATGGCCGTCTCCCAAGGATGATGCGCTCACGTTGATTTGTTGTATACAGTTCAAATGTACGTTATAGCTAGATTCAGTGCTAGGCATTAGGCTGACATTATGACATTTGTTTGTAGTGAGAACCAATGTGGCTACCTCACTAAGCAGAGTGGTTTGTGAAACCGCCACTGATACCAAAGATACTGCAGCCTACCGGTCCCAAACTGCCTAGGGGGACACAAGCCAAAAGGGCCCCTTTGTCCTGTGATGTTGACATGGCCACACGCACACACACGCACACACACACACCCACACACACAGAGAGACTCACGCACACACACACGCACACACACACAGAGACTCTCACACATAGGAGATCAGTGCAGTCAGACTGCATTGTGCCACATGGAGGAGGTGGCTGCCGTGCAGACAGCGTTGAGTGCCTTTTCCCTTCAACCACGGGTGGGACTGCACTGGACATACAGACATAAACACACACCGCACACTCGGTTTCAAACACACACACATGATACAACCATACCACAATAATGGGATGGACAGAACGGCGGCTAAGAGAGAGACACAGTGTGAGGCTGTGTCAGCATTTTCACCCATATTGACTTTCCATCTTGATACACTAGAATACAAGCACTTTATCATGTAGAAAGTCTATAAACATTTTCTAGACACTATTTATTTGAATTATATGTTGCTCCTTAATCTGTAAGGGTTTTTATTTTTATTTTCTACTGTTTCAAGCATTGTGTTTTGCTTTGGTTTCTTGCTGGATGTGCTTCCACCCACGGCCGCCTTTCCTCTCTCACATAAGAGATATTTTTGTGCACCAGTGACGGGGTAGGTGAGGCAGCCGCGGCTCTAAGCTCTCAGCCCTGTACATGTTTTGGTCTCTTCTTCTCTATGGCGTGCAAGCACAGAGCTGCACTAGTAAGGTGTGGACGACGCACTGACAGCTTCAACACAAACTCTCCTCCTTCTGTCCAGTCGACCTCTCCCCCTGGCTAGTGCCAAGACTCGGTAGGCGTTTGTTGACAATTAATTCTGAAATACCTCAAAACCTTTCATGTAAACTTTATGTAATTTAATCTGAAAATAATACTGCTAATGATAACAATGATTATGAAACTATGATACTATGATAGTTAGTTTTGGAACTTGTGACTTGAAGCTTTATACTGTTAAATTCCTTTTATTGGTTTTGCTCATTTTTCTTGTACGTTCCGTTTCTTTTGCTACGGCATGTACTAACTGTTTTCATAAAGGAAAAAGACATTGTGAATGTTTCTGTGGGAAAAAGAAAAGACAGAAAACAAGGCAGGTAAAGAAAGTTGTCAGGTCCAGAGCTCTTTCAAAGGATGGTATATTCAGAAAAAAGTGCAAAAAAGAGACAAATATTTAATTTTGGTTGAACTCACAACCAAAAAATCAATTAATAAACCAAAGGGTGAAACACATTTTGTTTATTGTTAGCTTTCTTCTGCCTTTCAGTTGTCTTTTCTCTTTAAAACACTAATTTGGAAGGTTCCTGGGTGTGTTCAAGTGCTCCTAATGTTCTTATCAAAGCACCTTTTATTGAAAAGAAAGGTGCGCTTTTTTTCTTTTTGTGCATGGATATTGTATAACTGTATAGAAACCAACAGGAATGACCTGTGACTTTGTGGGATGAAGAGGAGGAAAGAAAGATTTGGGAGAGGGTACATTCAAGTCTGGGAATATTTTGCTTAACTGGAAAAAGGGAGGGAAGATTTGGGAAGGGTCCTTGTTTTTAGAAATTTCCGTCACTGTTGGATTCACTGGTTGTGTGCATGTGTTGTTGCAACCCTTCCCCTTTCCCCATGTTTTTTTAATGTATATAAATTCCAACAGTAGGGGGCAGTGTGCGCTGGGGGAAGTCAAACTCCTCTTCTCCTAATCAATAGCATTCAATCTTCATTCCTCAGCTTGTGGTCCACACTCGGGTCCTGAAATGTGTGTCTTGCTTTTCCAAAGACAGGCTGTTCACTTGGAGTTAATCAGAGAGACACACACAGGTCTGAGCAGCCTTGTTATTCTTGTATGTCTGTCAACATGGCTTTCTTCAATTTGTGTATGTGTGCCCATTTGTTACTATGTGGAAACAAACTTATTTGTTATGTTACTTTATCATGGGTTGCAATATTTGTCATGCAAATTTTGAAAAACATTATTATGGACTGATTAACATTGATCAACCAAGCAACTGTTGTGCCATGTGGCACCTGTTCATCCGATATGGAATGCGGTCAGCATTTACTGTCAAACAGCATCTGTGCATTTCATTTTCTTGTGGGATGGAAGGTTTGCCAATGGGGCTGTTGCAGACACCCCCAGTCACACTGTGCTCTCCCTCTTCTGTTACCTGTTAATCAATCAGAACCAAGTGTCTTTGTGATGGTAGAAGACAATCAGTTTCAAAACAAGAGAAAAGGTAGAGAGAGGGCAGGCTAGTGCGGAGGAGTAAACAGGGGACAATACAAAGGAAAAGAGGTTTTCTGGTTCACCATGTGCTGTAGTGCCTGACCAACTACCACTTTATATACACTTCACCTTAGACCATTACTAATTGACATTAGCCAAACATGACTTACTGCAAACTCATAGGATTCACCCATTATAACTAATTATTCCTTTTCTCCATCTCGCACCCTGCCAGTGTAGCGCAGGGTGGAAGTACAAAAATAGGGGAAGAACATAATTACCCATCTCTCTCTATTTCCTGTTGATCTATTGATGATGTAACCAACTGCGAGGAAGGAAAAATGGCTCCGGTTGGTGGCTTTTGCACAGAGAACTATGCAAACACCAGACCCCCCCAATCCTAATCGTTGCTGCTGGGTCTGAGTGTACAACCCTCACCACCCCTTTCAATTCATAGAAAACTTTGATTTCCAGTCTGACTCCACTTTTCTTCAGGCCACATTCCAGTCACAGACAACAGTGACTGATCAGAAATGCACTACAGCACACCACATTTTATAAGACTGCACCACTGATGTTGTACAGAACTGCCCCAAACTGCCACAGACATCAGAATGGACTCCATGTTGATGTTTTGCAAGCTAATCCTTCCCGCTTCTTGCTGTATTATAATCTTTTTTTTTTAACTACAATGTTTGTATGTCTTTGTTCCCAGCGCCAAGGAAGGGCCACAATCAATGCAAAGACTCTTACATTGTACAGACTAAGTTTACAAAGTCGTCTTGAGATGGTGGCTAATATTGCACTTGGGAAAGACACACAAAACAGTTGTGTTGTGGTGGCTGAAACTAAAGATGAAATCAGAGGTACGACAATCCGGCTACCAAACCTAGAAGACAATTCCTCAGCTCTCTGGGCTGTTCTACGGGTCCTGTGATTTTTACCGCCCATGTGGACATTACACCTATTGCACTTAGAACACATCCTTGTCACACGCACTCCTCACAATCAGAAACAATCCACCTGGTCAGAAGCCTCTTTTCCCTCCTCCCGCCGCAGAAGCCGGAGAGCCTGTGGAGGACTTTTAGTTTCACTCTAGATGAGACTTTTTGAGAAAGGGAAAAAAATCTGAGTAATAACTGTTACAGAAAATAAAATCTTAAAAAGGAAAATATGGGTAAATTGCGTGTTTTGAAATAAATTAACAAATAAAACAACCGCAAATCTATGCTGTGTTTGTCCTTTTATTGTGTTTTTGAGCTTCTATAACAGCACATTGTCTAAGGGGCTATAAGTGCCTCATGCCCACCTGCCCACCAGTGCCAGGTATTGTATTTTTGGGTTAAAAACAACTGTGCTGTGGTTAGTAGTTCCCACATAGAGGGGTCAGCGGACTGCTCTGGCTGCCTGTAAAAGTGACATTTTGTGATAATCTTATCAGAAATCATGTTTTTCTAGCAACTTGCAAGTTAAAAAGTGACAGGGTGAGCCACTTTTTTACTTTTTGAGCTGAGAAATGAGCAAGGGAGGTCTTCTCTTTTTCACTTTTCTGTCCGAGAAATCTGATATAAAGACAGTGGCCAAAAACACATGAGAGCATGGAACTGGTACTAATAAAACTAGTATGCATTATTGTGGGTTTGAAAGTTAGATACCCCGAACTTTAAGACAGTTTCGAACGGTAAAACATCATCATTATGTCACTAGACGTCATTAAATGGCACAGTCCAGATTGCACCTCGTACTTTATGAGTGAATCCCTCATTATTGAAAACAAGAGACCTGAGCAAACCCTTCAAATGAAATACAAACTGCACTTTTCCATGGTGATTTAAAAAAATAAATAAAAATAAAACCTATATTAAAGGTCTTGGACAAGAAAGCCCCTTTGGATGTCACAGCTCTATATCAGTATTTTTCATTTTGCAGCTTTAAGAAATGTTATTGAAGGAAAAAGGTAAGTTATACAGACTTTTATTCTGTTTTCTCGTCTTATATAAAATAAAGTTTGGCTCCCGTGGATTGTCCCACATTTGGCATAGTCCCACTTCACGGAAGACTTTGTGTCTGCGGTCTCCTTCTAGTCCACTGTCGGCTCTGTGCTGCTGAGTCTGGGGCTGACCGTGTGTCCGTTTGAGGTTTTATGTGGAAACATGGAGTAACGCTGAAGAGAAGACTTCCTCTGAGGCCGGAGCTCGAGGCCCTTTGAAGACGCATCGTGGACCTGCGAGAAGAGACGGCACGGTGAGCTGGACGTGAGTATGGGAAATCAGATACACAATACTCCTCGTCAGAAAGTGTTAATCATGTCAAAAAGTATTAGTAGTGAATTAGGATATAAAAATGCCCTACGTCACTGCTACTATCGGTTCATGTGTAGAGTGGTGAGGGTGCCTAATGCTATTGTACAGTCACTGGTTTGTCCTTACATTAGCTCAGTCAGGTTCACTTCTTTGCTCTGGAGTCACTGGCGTGCTTCTCTGTATGTGTGACTTGGTCTAAATATGTGAATATGTGATTACTATGTGTGTTTTAACTCTGTTCTGTTTTTTTTTTTTTACTTTTCTTTCATTATTCTTAGCTATGGATCCTGTGCTTGCATGTGAGTCCTTAATAAAGTATACATAAAAAAAATAAATAAATAAATAAAAAGTATCATTTAGGAATCATTGGTATTAATTATGTAGATGTCGTGAATATTAGCGATAGCCATTGATAATGTTTTGGTTATTTATGTGTCTGTATGTGCATGAGCATGTGTTTGTAAATGTACAAGTATATACAGTATGTGTGCATCTATGTACATTCACATTTATGTATATACTGTGTACATATTTATATTTAGTTAATTTTGCCAACACAATGGTCCATATACAGGTATGTGTATGTACGTATATGTGTCTGTATGTACGTGTGTATAGGACATTTTTAATTCACCTTGCCTTATGCGTAATGAATGTCCTGTACATTTTGCAGGAGTCAGTGTGTATTTTTTGCCATTTTTAAAATATTTGTACTGCATACTAAATTTTGTCTTCACTCATGTCATTAAGTGAGTGATTTAAATGATTTTACGATGTTGGATTTGGGGAGAGTGTTTGTGTGTGGGGTTGGTGTTGTCATTGTGTGTTTATATGTATCACAAGGAGAAATATCATAAAAGACATTTCATGGACAGTTTTACAAAAATCTGCATTAGTATTATTAGGCATAAAAATAATAGATTATTTGATTTTTATTTGCATTGCACAATTGTAGGCAACTCAGCGAGCTTCTCAAAACCAGCTTATTGAATGAGCAGATCTTGTTTTCAGACAGACAAATTGAACTCCAATCAATAAAATAATAATGTAATTTAAAATAAGTCTGTTCTGAGCATTTGTAATTTATTTGGTGAAAAATTAACATGAATGAACACCGTAACATGTAAATGACTTGTGACACAAAAAAGCAATGAACACACTGTAAGGCATAGAAAGAAGAAAAACATCATTTATTCCATTTCCATCCATCCATCCATTTTCTACCCTTTAATCCATTTCTGGGTCAGGGGGGTGGCAGTCAGAGATGCCACCCAAGTCTCATAGCACCAGCCCCTCACTGACCCTCTGCAGGTGGTGAGTCCACAGGAGGACGGCTGCTCTCTGAGTGTGAGCATAGCCTTGATCTTTCAGCGGGGGATTTGGGCAAAGTGGGGTTAAGTGTCTTGCCCAAGGACACAACGGCAGCAGTCATCAGTGGGAGTCGGTGGAGAAGGTGTGGAGGTGGGAATTGAACCCACGACCTTCAGGCCTGAAGGCCAGTGCTCTACCAACTGAGCTACTGTCGCCACATCATTTATTCAATAATAAAAATCATGGCATGAATTTAAAAAAATATATAAAAAATGTTGCTAAATTATACATTTTCTACTCAGGTGTGTGGATATTGTCATTGTTTGAAGCGATATCAGGTTTTTACATTAATGCATGTATATTATTAGTGTTGTGTTTTAGCTCTGACTGCAGTGAACAGGCTCAAACGTACGGAGAATGCAGCCGGATCACTCTTAATGGTATTTAATGCTGCTCTTACCTTGTGCTTGTGGCCGCCTTTGCGAATGACATTGAAAGCATGGATCGTGACCGAGGGCAAAACAGCTGTCCAGGCAGTAAGCAGCGCTGTGAGCCACACCACTGGATCAATGAAGGCCTTATCAGCTGCTCCTGTCCAGCCACATCCAGCCAAACAGAGCACGCACACATGCACACGCACACATGCACACGCACACACGCACACACACACACACACACACACACACGCAATGATGAGTGATCCTCCAGTGACACATATACACACGCAGATGATGAAGCTGAGATATGGTTAATGTGGAAAGTATAAAATTGGTATTTGACGAACAAAAAGGATCCATTGTTTGTCTTAATTTTCTCGCTAAAATACTAAAGGTATTCAACGTTTTACAAGGTGAAAAGTCAAAAATGAATAATAAATACATGTATAATGGATGAAGAAGTGCTCGTACTCTTTAGTAAAATAAAACATACTGCAGTGTAATTAAAATCAATTGGAACGAAGCCTTTCTGAAGCCTGGTAAGCCACACCGACTTATTCTCAGCATGAACTTGCACAACACTTTGGAAACACTTTGGTTTCTGAGGTTGAGCCGATCCAATTGCAGCAGGAACTCATTGGCCATATTTTTTATTTGACAACAACTTAATTCTTAGAGGTGCAATAAAGGATTCAGGTTAGCTTAGCATTAGCATCTGAGTAGCGCCGTTGCATTACATAGCCCCTAGCTGCGTCCCAAGTCTTCCAATACATTTTTCGGTTCAGCCATTGTAGGCCATTGCAGGTGTTTTAGAAAATCCGGCTCAATAACAACTCAGACAGGTGCAAGCGTTGACGAAAAGCAGGAATAAGGGGGGGTGGTGAACGCATCCCATCGGTCTGCTCCAACAATTTTTTTTTTTTAAGCTACAAGCATCTAGTCATGTCTATTCCTATTCGAAAACACATGATGACTTGACTACTTTTGGGGTATCGGGACATTTCTCCACAGTAAATAAAAAACTGCATCTGCATAAATCATTGACTGCATCTTTAACGTACGGCTGTCATAATGTAGTAAGTAAGTAAGTAAGTAAGCTTTATTTATATACCGCCTTTCACAGACCAGAGTCACAAAGCGGTTTACAATTGTTTTGTTTTTTGTTGTTTTTTTTTTGGGCACTTGTCCTCTCACTCCACACAGAGATGGAGCGGGGTCGCCGAACAGGAGGCGCATGCCAGACCTATTGTACATAGTTTTAGTGGTAGGGGAAACCGGAGTACCCGGAGGAAACCTACGCAGCTACCTACCAATGTAGCTGTTTGCTGATGCCTGGAATAAACAGGGAATCTTCTGGCTGCTTGTCAAGTCAAGTGGTGTCATCTGCATTTGACCCATCCTTCCAATGCCCCTAGAGCAGCTTTGATCAGAACTACCTCAGAGGGGGAATACTTTTGTGCAGAAAACCTCTATCATAGTCTATGGATCTGTAGCAAGTTTCAGACCAGAGCATTTAGACAGAACTTTGGGCCAGAACCTACAGAAATGAGTGTTTAATGGAGCTAAAAACTAAACTACATATGTTTTGGATGAGGGAACAATATGACAAAATGTTAAACAAGAGACATTTGCATAAGATGTGTCCATTGAATAGCGTTAACACTTTGACTGCCATTGACATATTTGTCTGCGACCCTATATTCGACTGGGGATTAACAGGAGATTAAAAATAGCTAAAAACAAACTTATTTTTGCTGATCAAAGTAGACAATCCAGTCTTTCAGAATCTGGTTTCACATTTCACATAGTCTGAGGAAATAATATTCTATGGGTCTTGAGAATCAGTGAAATCATCAAAAACGGCAGCAGTCAATGAGTTAATAACAATGACATCATACCAAAGAAGAAATAGTCAGCGGGCGCGGAGTTAAACAGCCGCTCACTGTGGGTGATTTTGGAGCAGATGAAGTAGAGCCCCACAGACACACACACAGCGGCAATGTTGAACTTGGTCCAGTATTTAGTCTGCAGCGAGATCTGAAGCAGGATCAACACTTCCATATAAACACCAGAATAAAACACACAATTAAGACTGAATAGTAATGAAATCTTCAAAACAAATGAATTAATGTAACAAATGAATTGATGAATAAAAATAACAAAAATTAAACATGATGCATTAAATAAAACTAGGACAATTAAATCAAAATATATATAAAAAAATATATTTAAAAAAAGTATGAGTAAAAGTAAATAATTCAAGATAAAATATACTTAAAAAAAAAAAATCAAAGATTGAAAGCTCTTAGCCTAAAGTGACAAATAGTGATTCTAAGGGCTCTGTCTTACAAGTTATACAAAAGATAACCAAATGATTAATATTGTTGAAGGTAAAGACAGCATGTTGTGGTCTCATTTGGTCACAACATTATAGTTTTACGACAAACAACATGAAAACACAGCGTACACAGAAAACCGTAGTGTATGCAAAACGGACATACAACTGACCTCTATGGTGGCGGCAAATGTGGCTGCCATAGCAACGGTGACTGACATGGTCTGGAAGTCGTACGGCGTGTCGAAGAAGACGCCACACGGGAAGAAGAAGAGAACGAGGGAGGAGTAGACGGCGTACAGCAGACTGACCAGCATCATGAGCGGACTGGACATCTCATTCTTCTGCCCTGACATGTACAGCTCTGGGAACCGCAAAATGCCCTCTGCGCTGGTGTCCTACAGGCAAAAGGGAAAGTAGAAAACACGAAGCTTTGAACATCATGTCTTTCTCACAAACTAAAAAATAATAATAAAAAAAAAATACCTTTTCAAAAAATGCCACGCACAGAATTGGATTAGATGTGTAGAAAATTGTGTAGAAGGCAATAAACCATGGCTCGTACAAGGACTAAAGGAGAAAAACAATGCAATACCAGTTACTCTCAAAAGGGACAGTGTTTTATGAAGTCTGAAATACGCCAAAAATTATAAAAGTATCATGATTGTGTGCTCATTTTGGCTTCTAAACATATTCTTAATTTTATTACATTGAATAATACATCAAAGAATTATGGACAAAATTAGTGGGAGAGGTGTAGGGTCAGAGAGTGTTTTAGGGGCCCCTTTTCAAACTGTGTATTATATGATGTATGACTGGTGATTTCTGTCAAACTTCCCTGTATTCCACTGGGGATTACAGGAGAACAAAACTAGCTAGAAGCCAACATATTTTTGCTGATGAAAGTAGACAGTCCAATCTTTCAGAATCTGGTTTCATATTTTACTTTATCATAGCACACAATATTCTGTGGGGCTTGAAAGTCAGTGAAATCCTCAAAAACGGCTGGTAGTCAATGAGTTAAAGTGTTTCTTAATCTACTGTGTGTTCTGTTTTAGTATCCTGTTCATTCTTGAATAAAATAAAGAATGAATTTGACTGGAAATATTTGTAAAATGTGGTCCTGACCCACCAGTTAAGAATCACTGTTGTAAATCAAGACAAAATTAACTAAATACATTTAGAAAGATAATTTGGAGGCAATACACTTCCATCCATCAATTTTCTTCCCCTTAATCCATTTCTGGGTCGGGGGGGTGGCAGTCAGAGCTACACCCAGTACACTCAGCACCAGCCCCTCACTGATCCTCCTGCAGGTGGTGAGACCACAGGAGCTGAGATCTCTCAGTGGGTGCTTCAGGCAAAGTGGGGTTAAGTGTCTTGCCCAAGGATCAGTGGGAGTTGTGAAGTAGGTCTCACAGTGGGCTTGAACCCACGACCTTCAGGCCCAAAGGCCAATGCTCTACCAACTGAGCTACTGTCGCCCTTGCAGTACACTTGTTTTAGATAATCAGGAGGATTTGGCACAGATAGTGTAACAAGTTTGAAAACAGAGCATTTGACAGCAGGAGCGGGGGGATATGTTTGTACCAGGAGTCACTGATATTTGTGTGAATGGAGCAAAAAACTACTCCAGGTCGGGGTCAGTTTTTGATGAATAATATATATATCCATTCGTACTCAACCTCACAGACTGGTGTGAACACATTACTCCTGTTACTATTAACACCAAAAACACCACCACCGCTTTGGCAAAGATCTCACCTGAGCACTGAAGCCATTAAACAGGCCAAACCAGATGTGAACCAGGGCAAAGCTGCAGGTCTTGTAGAGGAAGTACCGCAGGAAGACCGAGATCCGCACGTACGACCAATGTCCGTGAACCAACAGCAGCCTCTGGAGAAACCTGAACTGACACATGGAGAAGTCTGCATTCTGGACCGCCTGGCCTCCCTCCACGCCAGCCAGCCCCACGCCAACATGGGCCGCTGTAAGTGGGACACACGGTAGGCTGCGTTTATGTGACATTACAGCATTCCACAAGTTTCACATGGCGGTGGAAAGGCAGCTGAAAAATCTTTGCTGGTAACTTTGGCAAATGTCAAAAGCCATATTTCTAGTCGTGGCAAATTTGATCAACTATGTTCTAGATATTCTCTCGTAAAAGTGTCTAGAAGTGGTGACACTGACAATATTCACCACATATTGATAACACATTGATCCCCCACACCTGAATTTCTCCTACAGGGATCAATAAAGTATCTATCTACCTACCTATCTACCTATCTATCTTTCTAACTATTTGTTTGTCTATCTATAATATGCCTGATGTTGGCCAGTAGAAAGAAAGAAAAACATCACGAGTTTATGAATCTAATCACTCCATCCATCTATCCATTTTCTTCCCCTTAATCCATTTCTGGGTTGGGGGGGTGACAGTCAGTGAGGCCACCCAGGTCGCATAGCACCAGCCCCTAGAATCTAATCACTATCCAATGATAATATTGGAAAACGTGTGAACATTGTCTTTCTGTCCCACAGAGTTGTATCGGCACCTGCCCCCCAACTGAAATCCTACGACATGAATACAACCTAATAAAGTTATTGGACAAAATATCGGGTGTTCTTACTTTTAATCATGTTGACATCGTTGGCCCCGTCCCCGATGGACATGGTGATGGAGTTTGTGTGTTTTCGCACTAGTTTGACGATGTCTGCCTTCTGTCCCGGTGTCACGCGGCAGCACAGGAGAGACTGACACTGAGACGCCAGCTTCATCATGGAGGCCCCCCATGCAGGCTCCTGCATAAACTCAGCCTGCATGGGGGACACAACAGAACGTTCTTACAGATGCACTTTGAACACTGCTGCTGCCGTGGTGTTTCTCCAGTCGACTTAAGTGTGAATAAATGCAAATGAGGTCTATAAGTCAAAACATACCAATATTTATTCATGTGCTTGATTCAAATTTGCATGAACATTTAATTGGGCTGATTCATACTGTATATTATCAGTGTTTTTTCATACGAATGATAAGGAATTGAGAGTTTATCAAAGTTAATCAAGACCCCTGAACATGGAGCTATTTAGTGTAAAATTGTACTACACGGTGGGCCTTAAATTCTAAATTTCTCCTACATGGCTGAGTGGATAGCACTCTCGCCTCTCAGCAAGAAGGTTCCGGGTTCGAATCCTTGTCGGAACAGGGCCTTTCTGAGTGGAGTTTGCATGTTCTCCCCCGGTCTGCGTAGGTTTACTCCGGGTACTCCGGTTTCCCCTACCACTAAAAATATGTGCTTTACGTTCGAGGGTGCGTTTGTGAGTACGAATGATTGATGTGATGTGTTCATTAACGTGCTCTGTCCCAACCAAATAAACAATAAATAATTTTATCATTTGGAAATAGCTAGACTCCAAAGTGCTGTGAGTTGAAATCTTTTGCAAATTCATTATGCAGAGTTGGCAAAGAAATAAACTCTGAGATGATTAGCAAAGGGATCCGTTAAAGAATAGCTAAAATATACAGCGTAGGCAGTTTTGAGCAGGTGGACATAATCATTTGTTACTGTAGTTATCATTAAAATCATACTTTTAGTAAAAACTGAATGTTTTAGACGTCAAGTTGTTGAAGGTTCTTGACAAAGCAATAGCACTTTCATACAGACAAAAGATGGCTGACTCTCTCTGACCGTGCTGCACAAGTGTCCTGTGTGCACAAATGGACTGCAGCATGAAACAAAAGCACTTCAGTTTACCAGCTCGGGTCCATTGAGCACCATCGCCGTTTTTGTTGCACTTGTGTGTTTGTCTACAGCCCACAGCTCTGTCTGTCTGGCCTTGCTGAAAGTAACCAGTGGGTCTGGGGACTGGAGAATCTGTCTGCAGGAGCAAAGACCACAGATCAAGGCAAATCCAGTTTGAGTGCATCGCTTTCCACTGCAAACCTCAGCTCATGCCATTCCAGCAATCTGGTGTCTGAATCCAGCAACTTGCACGCATATCCAATATTTACCGCCGTTTCTATAGAGCAGAGGAGCAATTTGAGTTGACTGAAATAAAGCAAGCATGTCAAAAACACATCAATATCACCTTTTTTATCGCCTGTCAGGACCCACACTTTAAGCCCAGCCTGTTGAAGCAAAGCAATAGTCTCTGGAACGCCCTCTTGGAGTTTGTCTTCTATGGCGGTCAACCCCAGTAGCTTTGAAAAATTACAGATTGTATAACTGCGCGAATGTGATTTCAAATATATTTCAAATTATTCACCAGTAAATCTCTTTCCATCTCATCGTGAAGTTTCTCCAGAAAGACCTCACGCTCAGAGAGGATCATTTCTGACGCCTGGGCCAGACGTTTGCTCCACGTTCCCCACAACTCTTCAGAGACCGACCGAAAGGCTATGCATAATGTCCTTAAGCAAGACTTTGCAAACATCTGTATGAAAAGAACAAGTGGAAATAAGTGTAAGTTTTCCCAAAAGAGCAGACTGAATCTCAGCATTTGAGAAAATCTTTGATTATGGAATAACAAGAGCTTTTTGGGAATCATTTTCTCCTACCTGGAGGTGGATCTATCACCTGTGTGCATCTCTCGTTCAATCACCCACAATGTAAACGCTAACAAAACAGATTTTCAAGATCGAAGAGATTGAGTTTTTTTCTGTTTTGTTTTTTTGTAAGTAAGCTCAGCGAACATAGAGTGGAGAAAAAAAACTCTCCAAAGTTGAGTTTACCTCCAGGGCTATTTCAGTCCGTTCCTGGTGTGGACAGTTCTTCTGCAATCTCTCCAGGATCACTATGTCTGCTCCCTTGCTGTAAAGCTTTAACCCACCCTCTGGCTCCCGCACTGTAGAAAGATGAAAAGTTATTTGAGGGTAAGATAGAAAAGTCTTTTTATGTCGGAAAAGTTGGGTTTTAGCAATAGTCGCATCTGCAGCCCGTGTCCAACCAGAAAGTAACAATATAAAAGATACAACATTGGTTACAGCAAAAACATGGAGTAGTTTTTAAATCCACCCACACATTAAGGACTTCTGACTTAAACCTGTGACTTTGCCGCTGTGACTATCAGCTCCTGTGACACCACGCTGACATTTAAAACTAAAAAGTGTTCTCCTTTAACTATCTTTTTCTCAGGGTGAAACAACATTCTTTACAATCGCATGGCTGTGTTTGCAAAAAAACAGAAACAGAAATTCAACTCCTCCGTCTGGTGTTAGCTTTTTTAAAACTTCTTGTTCCACCATATATTTTCTACTAAATGTACTAAAATATTCATTGAAAAAGTATATAGCTCAAAAATTAAACATAAATTGTAAACCCTAACTTCAAATATCAAAGTTTTTTTAAATAGATTTTTCCCAGTAAGTGAATATTACTCCTTTATTGTTAGTTTACTTAAAGCTTGCCCATGTCACTCAGAGTTTTCTTTGAATTGAGCTGTTTCTAACCCTAACCCTAACCCTAACCCTAACCCTTTTGACATTTTGACTGCCTTGTGGCTGAGTGGGTAGCACCATTACCTCTCAACTACAGGGTTCTGAGTACGAATCCCGGTCGGAACATAAGTAGAAATTAAAACTTTATTGCAATCACTTGAGTTTACTTGGTAATATCAAGTAAAGGATGTACTCGAGGAATAATTCAAGTGAAGTTAATACGCAATTTATTTCCATGGTTTTTTCAAGTAAACTTTACTTGTCAAGGCAAAGGAAGGTTTCTCACCCATCATCTGTACTTCTTAGCACTAGAGAAAACTCTAGTGGGCCACAGTCGGCTGTTCATCTCCACCTCAAGGCCTCCAACCACACGGTGGATGACACAGAGGTTAAAATTCTGGCTCGGGAGAAGAATTGGTTTGAGAGAGGAGTGAAAGAAGCCATTTTTGTGAGGAAACAAAAACCTTCTCTTAACAGAGGAGGAGGGTTAAGATTTGTTTTGCCTCGCATCTATGACGACATCCTAAAAACAACGCCCTAACTTGGGACAAGGTCAGTGACATGCTAATGAGTTAGGAGGGGTGAGACCTGCACTCCACTTGAGCATCCCAGCAGACAATAGGTCTGTGACATGCTAATGAGTTAGGAGGGGTGAGACCTGCACTCCACTTGAGCATCCCAGCAGACAATAGGTCTGTGACATGCTAAGGAGTTAGGGTCGTTAGCCTCAGCAGGGTTGTTAGACCTGCTCCCTTCTACATCAAGCAGACCTTAGATTGTTTACGAGTTAGTATCAGGATTAGGGTGTGGCTAACCACACCCATAGGTTATAAATCTCCAACGCGCGGTCCGAGAATTCATTCCCTGAAGAAGTCCGCTAGTTTGAGGACGAAACGTCGGGAAAACTTGCTAAGAAGTACAGATGATGGGTGAGAAACCTTCCTTTGCTTTGACTAATCCCTGTACGACTGAGGGCTTACACAAACTAATTTACTTGTCAAGGTTTACAGTGTAATATTTCTTCTTTAAACTATTGTTTTTTTTAAATTGGGAATCAAATCTTAAAAATATCCATATTTTAGTGAAATGAGCAGTCTAGCCTGTCATATGGGCTTGAAATCTTTGTGCTCCCCATAGGACAGTGGTCTTACCCAGCACGGACATGCGCCTCCTCTTGCTGGTGAAGTCCAGCAGTGCCAGCAGCTTGTACTGCCGCTCCACACCCAGCTCCGAGACCACGAGGAAATCTCTTGTCCTGGAGAGAAAGGCAAATCCCAACTCCCGGGCCGCCCCCACAAGAGCTTCTTCATCCGGGGAAGCAGATTGGTACACTGGGGTTCCTAGATTGGGATCATAGGACGGGCAGTTTCACATTTGATCTCAATTAATATATTACACTGCACAAATAAAGAAACACATTTTAGCTGCCAATGAATCTGGTGTCTGTTAGTAAGTAATCTTTATTTACACTGAGATAGGAGCGGGGTCGCCATACAGGAGGCACAGACCTATTGTACATGTTTTTAGTGGTAAGGGAAACCGGAGCACACGAAGGAAACACGTGGAGAACATGCAATCTCCACTCAGAGAGACCCTGTTCTGACTGGGATTTCAACCCAGGACCTTCTTGTCAGCGTCACACAAATTTTCAAACATCAACAATGGAACTATGAAAAGGAAGATCCATATAACTACAGTAGATCACTAGATTTTATCACTAGTTTATAGATACATGTCGTTTTCTCCGTTCTCACATCATAAGATCAGCTGTTTCAGACCGAAAAGAGAGGACCTCACCCATTCAGCCAGTCGGCCCTTCCTGAAATATTGACTTACAGGGCTCTGTGGTGGAATAAATATGCATATATTCACTCCTGTATATCTTTTAAGTAATGGTCCATTCCTAGTCCCAGTCTCGCAGTAGGGAACAGAGGGACCAAGATTCACATATATCAACCATAGACTGTATATTAATGAACGTAGTCACACCTATCTCCGCCGTTCAAACTAATGGGCCAAAAATTGGGCTTTCACGGAGTGATTCAAAATGGCCGCGGGGGCTGGAAAATGTGAAAAAACGCATGACGCATGCGCAGATTCATACATTTAAACAAGTGACTTCAAAAGTCCACAGCAACTAAACTAGACTGGTCCAGAACACCCCCCTCAGCATTGACACACATGTGGAACGGAGCTTTGGGCCAAGAGCCAACTTTTGGACCATCCTGTAAAGACGTTTTCCAGAGGTAAGAAGATGCTATATGTTAGCATTGGCTAATTCTTATTCCGGGTCCACCCCCACAGGCCCGGGGTGGTATTGCAGCATGTCAGCGCATGTCATTTTGGCCCCTTTTGAGCCGGGACCCGCCCCCAGTGATATCAACGCATTGCTACAGTATGTAAATCAACTTTCTCCTGATTTCCTGGTTTTATCATGTGAAATGAATGTGAAATGAACCGTCTCTTTTCCAGGTTGAAATCACTGATTTGCTCCAGCGCAGAAGTCATTTGTGGATAACATTAAAACTCATTCCCATCACAGCTCGTTCATGCATGCATAAAATAAATAAAACCTGTTTTCTAAGAAGATGAAGACAGCATGTGGTCTGTTTTGTTCACATTTTACTTTCTGTCGGAAAAACGTCATGTTATTGTTGCAAAAAAGAGATAGATCAAATACGTATCATTTTAAGCCGTGTAACTGACCAACTATGACTTGTGCATGTTTCAGTTAATGGCAAATAAACACAGATTCAATGAAAAAGATATTCTTGTAATTCTTTAGTTCTTGCATAACTTCATCCTCTTGAGATCCCGACTGTAGTGTGACTGTGTCTAAATCTTACCGTTCTTGTATTCAGCCATGACCGTGTGGCATAGAGACAGAGCTCGGAGGAAGTCGGTGCTGACTTCACACTGCTGCCCTCGGAGCCTCTGCACCAGGGCGGGGGCGGACATGAACAGCCCTCCACACGAGTACGGGTTCCAGCCCAAGTCCATGAGCTATTTTACAAAAAAGACATGCTTACATTTGATTTTGAACACCATGAAATTTATAATTCAGGGGTGTCCAAACTGTGCTAAATGTGGCCCTGTGACAGCCTGCATGGCCTACATCAGGGGTCTCCAACCTATAGCTCGGGAGCCACCAGTAGCTCGCCACCTCCTTTCAGGTAGCTCGCCAAAGGATTTAGAAATGAACAAATCAAATAATATAATGAATATTTCGCATTGATTTATTATTTATTATGCACTTTTTCACCAGTAACAAATATGTGATGATAAATAATGACTCCAATATATCATTTTTTTTTTTCAAGGGCCGCTTAAAGGAGTAGCTCTCTGCCTTTATCGTCCCGGGAAAGTAGCTCTCTGTGTAAAAAAGGTTGGAGACACCTGGCCTACATTGACTGAGAAGGCCTTTTTACTGCAGTTGATCTCATCCCAATCTAGTGTAAATATATGGACTGTGTTACATCAAGATATTTGTTGATATACTGTATATGATTTAATTCTGAATAAATAGTCATAATAGTACTTAAAACATACAGGGTACATGGAGATTTTTAAACAATTCCCAGGATTTCCCATAAGTCTGTGGCACTGCTTGGTGTTTGTTGAACATACGGCTTTGAAATAAAAAAGTTTAGACACCCCCCTCTCTCTAAATCATACCTCTGTCTCTTCTGCGCTGATGGAAACATCCCCTGAAAAGATAAAAATACAATAAACTGTCAGATTAGTGTGTTGTTTAGTGATCCTTCTGTTCTATTCTCTTCACATTCAACCTGCTCCTTCTGTGGAGTGTGTTAAGCTCTGGCCTTTAACACTGCATGAGTTGTGTGTGTGTGTATATGGTTTTATCTTGAATAATTTTACTGTTTTACACTGGATTTGTTTGAGTTAGTCTGTTATTGTTCAGGACTTGTGCTTATGTAATGTGCTGAATATATAAGGTGGATTCATTTGGATTGGACAAAGCATCTCAGTAATGTAATGGAAGCATGAACAAGACATAGAATATAATAAATAATAATATCCAGTACTTAGGGCCTCATTTCTCACTCCAGGCGCTAAACAGCAGAAACAGTAGAAAAGTAAAAAATTCTGAGCTATTTTAGTGGTTTAGTTTCATAGGACACATTAATGATACATCAATTTGCTCCATTCTAAGGGGTGTTCATCTTTATGCACAAGACCACCTGATAAATGAGGATATAAAACCCCATAGAGGCCCATGGAGGCCCACAGAGGCCCATGGAGGCCCACAGAGGCCCATGGAGGGAAATAGATGCAGGTCCATTCCTTAAAAAGAATCTGAATAATATACTGTAGGTATAAAACACAATTAACGTGAATGTCAGTTATTTTCAAACTGTGAAGTGAGAGTGAAACTATTTAAAGATAAGCACTAGTCTAGCCTGGTCGTACCACACCATAGTACAAATTACATTTCGTACTAAGGTCTGGAGGTGCTCCATTAAGCTCCGTTAACAGGTGGGGGGGGTTAACTCCTTTTGCAGATTGAAACGATTGGATCTGAGTTTACTGTATGTAATGCGCCCGAGTCTGTCGTTAGCCATTAGCATTTAGCCTAGCTTTAGCCATCTCCTTTGCCGCTAACAGAGCCCGTGGGGAGTAGCGCCATTATTTTTTCCAGCGATTACATTTGCTAAACATTCCTCTTGCTCCGGCTTCAGTTTCTTGATAGAACCAGACCAGATTACTTTACGATCACATTTTTTGCCATTGCCAAACTACGACCTTCCCATTCGACGCAAACTCTTGATATCACCCAAAACTAACTACAACACCTGCCTCCCGCGCTCTCTGATTGGTCGGTCGAAATTCAACCGATTGTATTCGCAAACACAGGGACCAGACCCAGACGTTACATGCAGTGAAATGATGACTGAGTGGAGTGTACGGATGGATAAGACCAGGGTAGCACTAGTTAGACTCGCTCATGCTCATGCTCACGCCGGAAACTTCCTGATTGGTCAAAATGATTTCCCTAACCCTAACCCTTGTTATTGGTTATTGGTGGAAGATCTAAGTTACTGACACCACCTTTAAAGCCCTCATAACTTATTCATCCATTTGGGAGTTTCAGCTTGTGTGCACTTGGGGTCTGGGCAGAGAGACAGCAAAATTAGTGAGTCTGTTTCTGGAATAAAACAGAAGCACATGTTCTTAGCGAGACACAAGCTGCACAGAACAGCCACATCAGTCGCTGCACACGGCGCCGGTGTTGCATTGGGTTTGATGAAGAACTGAAACAACACGATCCCACACATCCCTGAAGCCGTTCATAAACTGTCCACGTGCAGCCGTCTCGTGCACATCGCTGCCAAGAGGACGATAGTGACTGGTTACGTTTGTGGAGCAGGTGCAACATGGTTTTGGACTAACAAAACTCTAAATATTTACAGGTGATGGATGTGATCATTCTTAAAGTAGCAATATGTAAGATTGTCATGTCAAGTGATCAATAAAGGGCCCTAATCTGTCAAAAGGCATTAATGCTCATTTCCAATACTTCTTTATCTGATAAAAGTAGTTCAGCCGAGATATTTGAGTTTTAAAATAAGTTTTACAGCCCCTAAATCTTGTTATTGTTTTCATTTCGATGTCCCGCCCTCCACCGTGTTATCAATCAGAAAGTCCGGGTTGCCAGAACTCACCGCATGGAGCTAATCTCACTGGTAAAGTAACATGTGGCCACAGAACAAATCGAATCATTCATGACAAAACAAGGAATAAAACGAGAATATATATCGGGGGTTTTGTGAAAAAGGTGTTGGTTATAGATTTCAGCTGTTATGGTCCCAGCTGGATTCGTCTGCATATCTGGCAACCTGAGTCAGGGAGAGTGGGAGAGGCTGCAGTACCACTTTTGGCCAGATTTTTACATACTGCTTCTTTTATCTTATCGTTTAATAGAGAAAATGGTAGGCAAAGAAATACAAAAATACTGTTATAGAAATCTTACTGGGTTTATAAATCAATTTAACTTAAGAATGAATCTAATGATGAAATGGGATATCTGGGACAAAGTTCAAAGAATATGAATCTGCTTTAACTAACTAAACTGTTGTTCTGTAGGGACGCAAGGCCAATGACGGGGTGGAGGCAGATACGAGATTGATACCAGGGGCAAGGAGAGCAGGCTCACCGGTCATAGTGACAATTCTTCCTAATATCAGAGTAATATCAGCGTTTGTCAGGGTGCGACGTCAGAAGAGAGTGGGTTTGGGCATTAGCTGCCGCTTAATCTCGGACTCAGAGGCGCCATAGATAGACTCTTTTGTTTATTCCACCCTATAAATGTGAGAGAGAATGAGCACTATTGGGCAGATCTACCCGGGACCTGCCACGCGGTTACACGGTTGTATTTCCTGTATATGTATACATTTACTGAGATAATAAACCACACTTTGATTTGAACTACAGCTCTTGTTGTTTATTTTACATTTAATATTGTGTATTTCACTCCTTAGAAATTCCACAAAAATACCTATTGAAGTTGTTATCATCCGTTTACCGCCAATAGAAATAAAATAAAAATGTCATACACAACGATATCCTTTAGTTATGTAAATAATAGGCATCTAAATGTTATGTTAAGCATGAGTTCTCCCCATGGATGTGATCTTTGCTTGTGTTTGCTCTGAGGTCGCTCCCCAAGAGAGTGTTGTTCCAAAGCAGTGAGGTTGGAAAGCACAGCTCATTCACATGTCAGCGTTAAACTGCACAGATTTAGAGAAACTTTACTTTCATTATTGTCTGTATTCTTCTGCTTATTCATTCATTCGTTTCTTCTGCTCAGTGAAATGCAAATCTAATATCACTGCAGAGCCCCACTCAATGGGTTTGATATAAAATGATACTTTTTTATTAAAGAAAAAACGTCCTTTGAATTTGGGAACATTTCTCTTCACTTGCGATGTTGAAGGATCTGTCTACAACACAGGTGTCAAAGTCAAGGCCCGGGGGCCAGATCCGGCCCGCGAGACCATTTCCAGTGCCCCTTGAGATGATGTTAAATTATTATATTAAATTAATGGTCATAAGAAATGTCAAGCCAACATGTCATTAGACGTTAGTATCGTATCAATTATTTTAGGAAAGAACCGCCCTCTCCACTTTTTGAACAAAACTCTCTGGTCTTATTGGACGAGCACGAATGACCAGAATGATTGACAGTTGGGAGGACCAATAGTCTTGATGATCCACCGGAAAGTAGAGAATCTTCCTAATATGACATACCTTCAATATTTGGTCCAGTTTGGGTTCAGTCCACGGTGACTGAACTAATTCTAATCAGAAAATAATATCCAATCCAACTAATGTGAAACAAGTCATTTGTATAGATACCTTATATGCAAAAAAAATGTATAAGTGAAACCCACTTATTTTTTCAGCCCCTGACCAGCCCTTTCTTTTTTTTATTTGGCCCATAACCAAAATAAGTTTGACACCCCTGGTCTACAAGTACAGGTGCAACTTGGAAAAATTGAGTATTCTTCAAACATCCATTTACTTCTGTGATTCATTTTAGAACGTGAGACCCAGGACATGCAAAGTTATATTAAAACAAAGCCTTTATTTGTTAAACTGTTGATAATTGGCTCACAGCTTGGGAAAAAAAACTGTGAGCCCCATTTACTGAGGCTCACAGTAAATGGACTGTGAGCCTCAATCATCAAAGTCAATGAGTCTGCATCATATATCGCTTTGTGTCCTGCAAAAATATTTTAACTTTTGAACAATATTATAATTCTAGTTTAATCTTTTAAATATTTTTGAGCATAATTTTCATCTTATCTCTTTCATTATTGATTCAAGCTACAATTTTTCCAGTTTTAATCAGAAATTCATAAAGCCAAGGCAATGCTTACAGAACTCTATAAACATGTTCTTAAACGTGCAGGAATTGTGTTCATATTTTTACTCTTTTTATTTTTATTTTTAGGATAGGACATACTGAGACGTGATTTTGGTCAGGAATATTTCAATTAGATGTTTTTTCTAAATGGTGCAGCAGTGTTGGGAAGAGAATTTTCCTTTAAATGTAATTACGTAAAGCCTGGTCTTATGTCTTCAGTGGAAATGTGCTTCAAAAAACATAGCTTCAAAGAGGATTAAACGTTTCACTATCAGCTCCATTCACCATAGACCTCTCCAGCAATGCAGCACTGTCTGAAGACCAGGTGGTTCTGGGTCAGGGTCCCGGTCTTGTCACTCAGGAGGTACTCCACTTGTCCCAGCTCCTCATTCAGAGACGTGTTCCTCGCCTCTGCACATTTGTCAGACTTTTCCCAATACATGTGGAGGTCCCATCCAATGAACAAACTGTGGATTGTGTGAATGATCTCAAACCTATGAGACACACATCGCATTACTTTGGATCAAACGTGTTTCGATAAGAGTGGCAGAGATTACACACGTGATGTAGAGAGCGATGGGCATGGCCGGGCTAAGCAGGATGATGTAGCTCCAGTACACCAGGAAGCCCGTGTACGCAGCGTTCTCGCCAACCATCAGGGCTGCGAGCGCCTCCGTCCTCTGCATGACGCGACTCGCAAACACACCACTGCCTATGGACAGCAGCAGCGCGGACGCAAGCACAGCCAGGACAATCTGAAAACAACACGTTCAGCAGAACCAACAGCAAAGGCGTTCAAAGCAATAACCACACGATCATTTACCCCAATGACAGCGTGGTTTAAAACTTTCTCAGTCCGTGTCTTCTTCACCCGTAGTTTTCCACAGTTTCTCAAGATCTTACTGTCAGCGCCTGAAACGAAACCACACAACATTTACAGAGTGAATAAAAAGCCCCCCAAGGGTGACAGTTCAGGCCTTGGTGGAACATACTGTCCATGTTTCCTGAAGCAAAGCGCTCCTTCCTCTCTGCTCTGTGGGTATTTGACCTTGCTGTACTTAGGTCAGGTGAAGAATTTCCCTTATAGGGGATCAATAAAGAATATATAAACTTAAGATTTCATGTGTTTCCAACAATGCTTGGACTTGTGGCCTGGTGCGAGCTTAAGCTGCATTAACACAAAACAAAACTAAGTAGAGTCAAACTACCCAAGGACAGCTGTTCAACAATGGCCTGATGATGCCCTATTCAAAGCAGGTTATGGAGAGAGAGGAAGCTCATGCTATCAGACTGAACTAAGGTCACATCAATAGACAGTCACTGATGAATGTTATAAAACCCATCTCTGGAAGAATTTGATGTATTGATTGGCTTTAAAAGAACGGAAAGTGCCAGAGCAGTGAGATCCCTGACACCTCTGCCTGGGCCCTTATATCCGATCAATGATCACTTTACCAGAGCAGGGCTGTAATCCACCATACCTTACAACCAAATTTAGGGCATCGACATCAGAGATAAGTACTCTTCATAATTACCAGAATAATGAATTTGAAAAACTACGATCTGTCATTTAAACCGGGCTACTCCAGAACAAGGTGAAATCAGGACAGGTGACCGAGACTATGGAAGCTTTGTCATACTGTCTATAAAGTGGATTGAATATGAAACGTGTGTGCACATGTGTGCGTGTGTGAGTGCATGCGCACATGCGTGTGTGTGTGTGTGTATGATTGGTGGTCATAGGGGCTGATGGTGCTGGCAGCCTCACTTTCATTGGCTACAACAGTGTCGTGCCAACACTCAGTCCTGACTGAATAAATGATGACTTCAGTGTGGCACTTTGATAGGCTTCGACAAGCCTGTAAAGCACATTACTAGTGTACGACATTAATATTATCAATATTATAACTTCACAAGAGGCGCAGTACCAGTGTATATGGCGAGGCCGTAGGCGTACTGTGTGTTGCGTAGAACAGTGCCTCTGAGGAGGATGTGGTCGCTCTCCAGGAGAATCCTCTGTCCTCTCCAGTGCAGCTGCCCTCTGAACGTGTACAGGCTGTTGTTGGGCTCTTCACAGAGCACGGAGCCTGTAACAAAGATACAAATATACACATAAGGAACCATTTTAATTCCTTTAATTTGTTTTTATTATTACCATCAAAAGCTGAAAGGCTTTCCTCTGAGGGTTTATTGTTCAGCTCAACGTGTGTGGCCCCTGGAGCCTGCTTGAATTTAAGGTTGGTCTCACTGTGTATAAAAGGAACCAGGAAACTACATTAGCACTAGGTTGAAAGAGCGGCATCCATTCATTCAGTTTCTCTTCTAGAGTTTTACCCATCTATATCTGCTGTCTCTACATAACTGAGACTGTGAGCCTCTGAGCTGGACAATAAAAGAAGGTCTGCCTGTGAAGACAAACACACAAGTAAATATGACCTCTCCAGATTTGAGGTTTGGTCTGTAAATCTCTTATGGTTTTAAACTTACAGGAATAACTTGGTCCTTATAGATGCAGAGAACATCTCCCACACAGATGTCCCGCCACTGCAGCTTTTCAAACCTATATTTATGAGCAGACATAAAAATTAGTGGAACATAAAACATAATTTCTTCTTTCCCTTCCTATGACATTGCAAAAAGCCAGTTGTGTTCTGCGGCACAAGCAGGTGAAGGCAGTGTCTGGGGATTCACTTATCCACTCTTCATTAGAGCTTCATTAGACAACAGTTTTAAAATGGGGATGTGAGGAGAGCCTAGGGACTGCACTCGGCAGCCTTTGTCCTCACCTTTGAGAGATGAGGATGTCACAGGGTTGAGAGTTGATGGCAGAGTCGCTCCTTCTCCTCGTCTGGAGAAATGACAAGAAGAAAACAGAGAGTGGACCAAGGTTTAGGGACATGCTAGAAAAGGAGAGGAAGCGGCTGATGGACAGAGACACAGGCGATGGCCGTGAAAGGGTGAACAGGAGAAAGGAGACGCCATTACAAAGCTCCACAGTGACACCAGCAGGGAGATTTACACCCTCCACTAAATGATTAGTCAATAGGAAAAGGTCAAGCAAGCGTTTCACCCAGCGCTGTTAACGACCGTAACTCAGTGATGCACTTAACCAGTGAATTCTCCATGCAAAACATCTCGCATGCATTTAAAAGGGAGAGCTTTAATGATAGGAAGGAAAATTAATGCTACTGGGATGACTGGTTTTGTCAATGAGCAGAGGACAAGGAGTCAATAAGGACAATGAAGGAGAAAAGAGTGAAGACATGCTTAAGTGCAGTCTATGTGTAGGGATGCTGCAGCCGCCGATGCCTTTGCCTGTTGGCTCATTTAACTCTGACACTGAGACGGTTTGGATAGGGTAGGTACCATTCAGGTCACACTTTCCAACACACGAGATAGTGTTTCATTTATATACAGTATTTTTTTCTGTTTTTCAATGGTTAAAATCATTTGTCAAGTTCACTTCAACCAAAATAGAAGATTATCTAACTGCATACACATTTTGTAACTACTACTATGACCTTTATGAGTATTATTGAGGTAACATGTTAAATGGACAGATTTATTTAGCGCTTTTTGATCTTTTCAAGGCACACAATGCACTTCACATCAAGTCACCAATCCCCGAATCACGCACATGTTCATACACCAGTTTAAGAAGATAGAGGTGTGATACAGTAAGTGTCTTGCCCAAGGATGCACAGGACCAGTCAACAATGGGAGCTGGTTTGACAGATGCCAGTTGATCTGACCGCTCGACCGACGATATTAATGTCAGAAGCAGAACAACCAACTGAGTTACAATTATAACGCCAGCCTCCTATCTCTAAAACCTTATATTATTATCATTATGGCTCAAATATTTTGTCAGCTTATCGCCTGGCTAAATACTGAAAGAAGTGATTATGATTCTGCATTTGGATACAGTAAGTCACAGTGCAATATATAAACTGGATTGAAATTAGAAAGAGGAAGAATGAAAGAAGAATCAAATAATAAGTGACCCAAAGTTAAAAATAAAAGTTACAGCATTTTTGTGGCATTTATAATTCAGTTTTTCATATTTGCACATACAGTATCTTTTCAGGGTAATTCTCCACACAATATAATTTTCACACATCACAAATATCCAGCCACTCTTTTTCTTCCCTTTATCCATTTCTGGGTTGGGGGTTTGCCAGTCAGAGCTGCACCCGATTCACAAAGCACCAGCTACATCACAAATATGATCTGAACATTATCCTGACTCACAGACTGTACTTTGATTGATCAATGTGCGCCACATGACTCTGCTTGTAATCCAGTGTCTCTTCATTCACAAATACTGAGGTTCTATGAGTCGGTTGACCTGTACACGGCTCACGTATGGAGTTAAACATAAAAAAAATCCTTCAGTCTTTTACAGGTTTTGTTTACTGAAAGGCAAAGTCAGAAACGTGTTGTGTATCGTATCTTGTTTAGTGTGATTAATTACAATATGGATGTTTGTTAATGTGCTGAATTTGATTGAATAAGATTTTAAACTGGAATGACTGTGAATGACCAAACGACAATAAATGAAAATGAAAAAAATACTTCCACGTCTCGGAGCTCAGAGGCCCCCACAGTGTAAGGCCTGGCAGTACCATGTCGTTGGCCAGTTCTTTGAGGCCTCTCACAGTCAGCACCGACACCAGAGGGATGAAGCTGATGTACCAGGGCACCGAGGAGATGGCAGGAACACACTGTGAAGCACACACACACACGCACACGCACACGCACACGCACACGCACACGCACACGCACACGCACACGCACACGCACACACACACACACACACACACACACACACACACACACACACACACACACACACACACACACACACACACACACACACACACACACACACACATTACATTTGTCTTGCTAATTGAGAGAGCTGGTCCCAAACACACAAAAACATATACATCAGAAAAACTACAATCAATAAATAAATGAATAACAACATTATGTAGAAGTCTTCGATCTTGTTGAAGACCAGGGTGTTGTGGTCATTTCAAAATCATACACTTCCCCCACACACACACAGGCATGCACACACACACATACATGCATACACACATGACACATATACACGTGCACACACACGCACACACACACACTCATACAGACAAAAGCACATATACACAAATGCACGCGCACAAACAGGCACGCACACACACGCGCGCACACACACTCATACAGACAAAAGCATATATACACATTTGCACACACAAATGCATACGCACACACACATGACAGATATACACATGCACACACAGGGATGCACACACACGCACATACATGCATACACACATGACACATACACACCATCCATCCGTCCATTTTCTTCCCCTTAATCCATTTCTGGGTCGGGGGGTGGCAGTCAGAGCTACATCCAGTACACATAGCACCAGCCCCTCACTGATCCTCCTGCAGGTGCTGAGTCCACAGGAGCATACACACACGCACACACACATACACACACGCACACACACACACACACACACACACACACACACACATGACACATACACACAGGGAAATATAAAACAAGCCTGTGGTTATGAACTCATTATGCACTGTTTGCATTTGACTCTCTCTGGACAAAAGAAAAATCCTCTGTCACAAAGCACAAGGCAAACACAATATGGAACATATATTTTCAGATTGGAATTGGGCTGTAACGAGTGAAGGAATTAATCTCATTACTTATCGATTCAAATATAGTTATACTTATTATTGAAATAGTTTAGTCATCTATCCATTGATTTTTGCACCTTACATGGACTTAACTTTGCTGAGAACAGGTTTTTATCACTCATCATTCAATACTCACTGCAGAATAAGATTGAAATTTGTTTTTAATCAAATAACCCAAATAAAAAAAAGTTAAAATCCCATATGAGGATCTAAACGACTAAACTGAACTGAAAGAATAATCCGCATACTAAATGATTATCAAATTAATTATTAACAACAGCCCTACAATGGATCCTTTTATTGTCAAATAATGCACGTGTTAATGCATTGTACCACGCAGTGATGTCATTATTTTGTTTTTCCCAAACTAGTCATGTGCATTAATCGCTAAAACATGTTTGATTGATTGAGTCCTTGTTTACGTTCTCATGCCTTCAGGAGCCCCCAAGAGCACAACGTTCCAAAAGCAGCTATCACAACAATCTAACACGCTCTCATCCTCAAGGCAGTCCCAACGTTTAAGGCTCAATTTGAAACCTGACTTTTGGGTGGGAGAAAAATGAGTCCAGTAAATATTAGTCCAGTTTACACAAACAAATGGGAAGGATCAGATGGAGTGCGCCACAGTGAGAGTCGTAACGATCGTGTGTTCAGAGGAGATACATGAACGCAGACGCAGGCGCTCTGCTGGAGGAGGAGGCCGTCTGACACACACAGATACACCATCCTCAGCACCGCGCATGTGTGAGGGGATTAAACTGCTCTTACTGCAACATGGAGCGTTTCCACACAGACCACAGGCCCCTGACCGAGGCTCTCAGCTGTCGAGACGCACCCATGAACCATAAAGTGTACCAAGAATTTTAACCTTCTCATGTTCACTTTGTCCATTACATGAGTTTAAACTATTATGAATTGCTGAATAGTAATTAGCACAAGCATTCTGATCGGAAACATACAAATAAAATACAAAATCAGATAAAATTGTTACCATTTTCTATCATTCTCTGTCCACTCTTAACTCATTGACTGCCATTGACGAATTTGTCTGAGACCCTCTATTTGACTGGGGATTACAGGACAATAAATATCGATTTTTTTAAAAACGTATTTTTGCTGATCCAAGTAGACAATCCAGTCTTTCAGAATCTGGTTTGACATTTCACATAGTCTTAGGAAATAATATTCTGTGGGTCTTGAGAATCAGTGAAATCATCAAAAAAGGCTGGCGTCAATGAGTTAATGTAAAACAGCCTCATTGACTGCCAGTGTTTTTGATGGTTTCATTGATAACCAAGACCCACAGAATATTATGTGCTATGACTATGTTAAATATTAAACCAGATTCTGAAAGACTGGATTGTCTATTTTCATCAGCAAAAACAAGTCTGTTTCTAGCTATTTGTGTTGTCCTATAATCCCCAGTTGAATAGAGGGAAGTTTGACAGAAATCACCAGCCTCAGACAAATATATCAATGGCAGTCGATGAGTTAAAGAAGAGGTACCTAATAACCATATAAAACCTTTATAACTACTTCCTTGCTCTCGAAACAGTTTGGTTCTATCACTAGTTTCACATTATGTAAATGTTTGGCCTCTGTCACATCTTTAGATCAGCTTTTTCAAATTTAAAAGTGAAATCGAGCCAAAAAGTTCTCAGCCCAAAGTGTCAATTAGTGACTCACGGGGCTCTTTCTTACTACTTACTGTTTTCTACTAGTCATGTAGGAAAAACTAAATATATAAATCAAAAAAATATGAAATTAGAATATAGTTTATTGTTCATTTGTCTACATACTTCAACCTAAAATGTGAAACCAATGCATGATTTAGACTCATTCCAAGCAAAGTGACACATGCTAAGCCTTTGGTATAATATTGGTGATTTATGGCTTGCACGATTTACGATTTTCAAAATATCAAAATTTTCTGAGATGTTTCATGGGGTTTTACAAGATTAAAGGCCTAATATATTTTGCTTTGCGTGTAATCAGTCACATTGTAGGTTGAATTATACCGTATCCCAGCTCCATGTGCAGACACTGATTCTGATTCTGCTCCGTCATACTGTATACCTTGTGTTACTACGAATGGTTTGCTAGAGTCCAGAAGCTGTGCGGTCTGACCTGTAGGACCACCATGAGTAGGAAGTAGACGTTGGCCACTCGCTGGAACTGCTCGAACAGAGTCAAAGGCAGGAAAGTCAGGGCCGTGTACTTGTAGCTGCGCACCACGTTGTCCTGAAACCAACACCCAAACAATCACATGACTGACACTGCAGAGAAGGGAGGGGATGGATTTAAAATAAAAACATTCTGGACTATTAGGCAGACCGGCAACATTGTCCACACACAGGCCGCACGCATATATATAATGTATAATGGTTTTTACAGCCTAATCGTTAGTTTCCATGCCGGTACTCAATCAGACGTCTATTTTGACAATAAACAAGTGTCTTAGAGCTATTAAGACTTGATGGAGTCAAAATAATAAGTCTCTGACAAATCTAACAGAAAAAAAAAACACATATTAGCTGCATCGTTACTGCATATAAGCCGCAGTGTCATGGTGTGGATTTTATTTTTGTATTTGGTTTAATTTTGACATTGGTTCTGTGGGTTTCATTTCAGTTGTGCTTCCTGTCCTGTTTCCCGTCTTGATTGTCTGCCCCGCCCTGATGTGTTTCACCTGTGTCTGTGTGTCTATATGTACTTTTATTTTATTAAATCATTATTTTTTTTGCATTCCTGCTTTTTGAGTCCTCCTGATTTCCATTTCATGACACACAAGGTTCAAAAATTTTAAAAAAGTTCAGTCTTATAGTCCAGAAATTACGGTAATTCATTTTTGTATGCGTCTTTTTCATACTAAATTCACACAAAATCTGATCTATCGCTTGGATTATTGGATCAGCGATAGATCAGAGTAAGACCAAAACATTTCATTGCATTAGTTGATCATTATAAGTTTATGTTTATAAACCAGTGGCACGGTGGCTAAGTGGATAGCACTCTCGCCTCCTGAGTTCGAATCCCGGTCGGAACAGGGCCTTTCTGAGTGGAATTTGCATGTTCTCCCTGTGTTTGCAGAGGTTTCCTAAAGGAGCTCCAGTTTCCCCCGCCACTAAAAATATGCTCACTAGGTAGTCCTGACTAAGCCTGTTACTACGGCGACCACTGCTCCTGACGTAAGCCTTAGCCTTATTTATTTTATATTTTTAACACTAAAGACCAGACTTCAGTGGCATCTAATCCGAACCAACGGGACCGAATCAGTGAGAAGAGCCCCACCTCACCTGGGACATGGCCGCAGGTGTTGAGTTTCAGCTGTGAATGAGAATGGGTCAGACTCACCGCGTACCGCCCCCATTGAAAACACAGGAAAGACTTCTTCTGCTTCGCTCTGTGGAAGCTGCGACAGTTGGCTTTCACCTCCCATGTCAGGCCTAACACAGGTCAAGTGTGTGACTAAAAGAACATTACATACAGAAGAGAATGAAGATTTAGATACATGACCAACCTGATTCACTCTCCATGAGCAGAGGTCAGCAAAAGCGTATCCTAAAGAATCGGTAACTCATTACCCGGTTACCATGGCGCCCCTCAGAGCCAAAAAGCACACTGGAAAAGAAGCAGAAGAAATATGCACAGGATTCATTTTGACCACTTGTTTTAATATCATTAGACCAAATGTTTATATAAAAGCACTGCAAATGATCAAAAGGCAGTGAATTGCTGTCGTTTTTATCTTGATGTTGATATATGCGACAGGTGAGGATGTGTTTGTCCTATTAGCAGGTCTTGTTTCAAAATGTAATTAAAATTCAAGCATTTTTCGTAATTTTTTTGTCTTGGCAAAGTTGTACTGCTTGATTACCTCATTACACACTTAAACGTACAATAGGTTGCGTTCGTGTGACATCACAATCTTCTAAAGAGGCTATAGTTTAACATGAGATTATTATGGCAGCTATCAAATAATGTAGAAAATGTCTTTTTCAAAATAACTTGTGTTGAAGGAATGACTTGTGTTGTTCCAAGCCTATTCTCAGAAAGAAAACAATGCATTTGGTGAAAGTAGCCTTTGTTTACCAATTCAAAAGACAGAATATTGTATCAATTTGAAGTTAAATGACTCCATATCCAATGATAGCATATACACAAGTCACAATACTCCTGCATGTCCGAGTGAAAAAGTATCGGTCTGTTCTTACCTCGTAGTTGCAGTTGTAGCAAACACACCTCGCTCTGATGTTACCTGGGAGTTTCATCCTCAGCGGCGCTCTCCTGCTTGTTTATATCCGGGCCACGCCTTCCCCAGGTCCCAAGTGCAGCTCGGGTGTCACTCTCCATTGTCCCAGAAGAAAGCAGATGAGGATTGCCAAATCTGGGAAAGAAAAAGCTGAAAGAGCCGAGGTATTTTCTAGCGTTTTTGCATTGGGGTAAATTCATCCATTATTGTTGTATTAAGGACACATACAGTGCCTTGCGAAAGTATTCGGCCCCCTTGAACCTTTCAACATTTCCCCACATTTCAAGCTTCAAAGATATAAAATTTAAATTTTTTGTCATAAATCAACAACAAGTGGGACACAATCGTGAAGTGGAATGAAATTTGTTGGATAATTTAAACTTTTTTAACAAATAAAAAACTGAAAAGTGGGGCGTGCAATATTATTCGGCCCCTTTACTTTCAGTGCAGCAAACTCAGTCCAGAAGTTCAGTGAGGATCTTTGAATGGTCCAATGTTGTCCTAAATGACTGATGATGATAAATAGAATGCACCTGTGTGTAATCAAGTCTCCGTATAAATGCACCTGCTCTTTGATAGTCTCAGGGTTCTGTTTAAAGTTCAGAGAGAACCATGAAGACAAAGGAACACACCAGGCAGGTCCGAGATACTGTTGTGGAGAAGTTTAAAGCCGGATTTGGATACAAAAAGATTTCCCAAGCTTTAAACATCTCAAGGAGCACTGTGCAAGCAATTATATTGAAATGGAAGAAGTATCAGACCACTGCAAATCTACCAAGACCCGGCCGTCCCTCCAAACTTTCCTCTCAAACATGGAGAAGACTGATCAGAGATGCAGCCAAGAGGCCCATGATCACTCTGGATGAACTGCAGATAACTACAGCTGAGGTGGGGATGGTGTGTTCAGGGTTGCTTTTACGCCAAACATATCGTTTTGCATTGTGGCCAAAAAGTTTGATTTTGGTTTCATCTGACCAGAGCACCTTCTTCCACATGTTTGGTGTGTCTCCCAGGTGGCTTGTGGCAAACTTTAAGAGACTTTTATTGGATATCTTTGAGAAATGGCCACTCTTCCATAAAGGCCAGATTTGTGCAGTGCACGACTGATTGTTGTCCTATGGACAGACTCTCCCGCCTCAGCTGTAGTTATCTGCAGTTCATCCAGAGTGATCATCATCAGTCATTTAGGACAACATTGGATCATTCAAAGATCCTCACTGAACCTCTGGAGTGAGTTTGCTGCACTGAAAGTAAAGGGGCCGAATAATATTGCACACCCCATTTTTCAGTTTTTTATTTTTTTTTAAAGTTTAAATTATCCAATAAATGTTGTTCCACTTCACGATTGAGTCCCACTTGTTGTTGATTCATGACAAAAAATTAAAATGTTATATCTTTATGTTTGAAGCCTGAAATGTGGCAAAATGTTGAAAGGTTCAAGGGGGCCGAATACTTTCGCAAGGCACTGTATGAACTGGTTTATAGTTAGAAAGAGAAAAGCATTTGTTATGAGAGAGTGTGAGTATCTTGTCAGTTGTGTTTGGGTAAGGCTAGTAAGTTCCATACCATAAAGCTTAAAAACATGAAATATCATTATTTATACATAAAAAATACATATTTATAAGTGAATCTCAGAACATGTGAATATTGTTCAAATGTCCATTCATTTCTGAAATTCAACTTGTGTGATAAACTTAAGTGATATATTCCAAGCCTTTGTTATAATGTTGATTATGATGGATTTCAGTGCTTTTTCAAAATATTCGTTTTTGAGCTATTATATAAAATATTCGTTTTTGACCCAGAACTGGAATAATAAAGAGGCAGAATATGAATGAATGAATGAAAGAAATTTGTTATAAAAATGGAAAATAGTTTAATCACCGCTCCGCTTGAAAGCTTACACACTCAGGCAGAAATGTCATTGAATTTGTCCTATTCTTTGTGGTTATGGCAAGTCATATACAGTCAAACAAATCTTTTCTATTTTATATTCTATATTCATTGAGCCGCTCAGATGTGGAGTTTGACACGGCCCAGTAATTTAAAGAAACTATAGATTGTTGCCAAAATGAGTGTGCAGCTTGACCATCAGAGAGGATAAAGAACCTCATACACAACCGCCGCAAAAGATTACAAGCTGATATAGTTACAGTGGCAGTACTCACATTTGAGAACTGGGGGGGTGGAAACTTATAATCAGGGACAGGAGAGTAGCTTCTGTTGTTGTTCAGATGGATTGTGTAAACTTACAAAAACAATATATGTTCCATCATCATCGTCGTGGTTAAAGAAGCGGTGTTTCTTTTGATTCTGACGCCACCTGCTGGCCGTAAGCATGTACCGCACTTGTCTGGTGGGAGGTAAGGGGGAACATTTGCAGATAAACATACATTTTTCTGTAAAGACAGTTAGTATAAAACTCACCACAGCGTCAGTTAAATGTGCAGTGTGTGGTTTCATATCTGTCTGTCCCATTGTGTGAAGCGAGCGAGGTCATCGCCACAAAGGCCACAGGCAACAGTCGGATGCACTTCACAAGAGTGGATAGTGTCTGCAGATCTAGGGCAGACTGTTGCTATCATGCTTAGATGGTGGTTAGAATCAAGAGGTTGAGACCATGTGAGTGCTTTTTTGGATATAAAAAAAGAACGGTCCGAGTCTTCATGAGGCCTATGCAACAATTAAACAATCTAGTGCTTTAGAAATGACAGGAGCTCCTCTAGATCCTACAGTTAGCTTAAAGGTGTTGATAAAGTACTTCCATAAATTCTGGTTTATATAGTAAATATTGCAAATGTATAACTGTGACGTACAGAATAAACTCCAAAAATTAGAATATTGTTCAAAAGTTCATTCACATAGATACATGTTGTGACTATGTGAATGCACTCAGCCTGTGCCCCCCATGGGGTGGTCTCGTGCATCCAGGATACATGTGCGTCAGGGCTTTCATTATAGCGTATGGTCACCGGTTCCGTCACTGTTTTCACGGACAGAATTTCTAGGTGAAGCCAGGGGCCGAATGTAGTCCGGTTCAGGAACCACAGGATTTCATCTCTTCTGTTGCGGATGATGTCGTCCTGCTGGCTCCAACGAACCAGGACCTGCAACATGCACTGGGACGGTTTGCAGCCGAGTGTGAAGCGGCTGGGATGAGAATCAGCTCCTCCAAATCCGAGGCCATGGTGCTCGACCGGAAAAAGGTGACTTGCCCTCTCCAGGTGGGTGGAGAGGTCTTTTCTCAAGTGGAGGAGTTCAAATCTCTGAGAGATGGATGGATTGTGAGATTAAGACCCTCCAGGGTGTCACGGACTGCTCTGTCTCTGTTTATGTGTGTGCACCTTTGCACGTGTGACAGAAATCATGTTGATTGTTTTGATTCGACAGCGGCCAACAACCACATGGACCATGTTATGGGTCCATGGACCAGACAACAAATGTGAATGCACCAGCAATATGATTCCTAAGATTAGACTTAGACTTTATTGATTCACAAGTGAAATTACATTGTCACAGTAGTTGCATAGTATTCCACAAATAATAACAATGAAAATAACTATAAAGAAACAACCTGAAAATAGGATGGATACTACTGTGAGAAGAGAATAATATGGCTATAGTTACTCAGGAATAAACATATCTGTGAATATGTACACATTTACAGTTTAAAATAGTGGGTAACAGGATAATACACATCTGTAAATATGCAATGTATACAAAGACGAAGCATATAAACTTGACGTCTGTTCAGATGTGTCATTTGTCACAGAGACTTGTTTGCCTACAACAATTACTTGGAGACAAACAAGAAGACGGGAAATCCACAACGAACTTGGTTTGGCATTTGAACTTACGTTACTAGCTGCATGTCTCGGGACTTGAATTGGGACTTGAATTGGGACTTGAATTGGGACTTGAGGGCCACCTCTGTCCCAAACCATGAATTTCAGTTTTCCACTTGCAGAGTTTCCACCCTCACCTATGTTTTTATTGAGACAAAGAAACGCCTGTGAAGCCCCAAACCCAAACAATAAATGTTAATCTCATCTAAAGGTCAGCATAAACCAGAGAAACATTTCCACATAACCCTGAAAGTCTGCTTTTGATGCCAGCATCAAGCCTTTTATTGTGTCCTTGGACAAGACCTAACCCATCTGTAATGGAAGAGGAATAAATATTATCCATGGCAAATGTGTCAATAGGATAGCAAGAAAAAAATATTGCAATAACAAAATAGTGCAACAATCAGGAAATGACGTTGTTTACCAAAGCAGAACCATGTACTGGTCTGAATGAACTGAGTCAGTGAACGGATGGTGATGGGCAGAGGCTTTGTGTGCACAGAATGGAAAGTTACTCCAACTTTGTAAAGTGCTGAGTATGACCCAGGTCTGACATGCACTAGTATCACTTTACTGTAATTGCAGATCACTTACTCGCTTACACGCAGTGGTAAATGAATACATTTTGCATAAACTGTACATATTTGTTCTAACAACCAAAAGAATCTTGTGTCCATAAAGTCAGTATCACTGATTTAATCTAATGCCAACATTTTAATTTCTATTGGGAAAAAAAAGGTGGGATGAGTCAAAAAGATCATTGTTGTGGCTTGTGCTAAACAGATTCCCCTCAGTCCTTCAAGCCGCCCCTGCACTCACCACAACACACTTTTTATTTGGATGTCGTGATTACATGGAAAAATGTAACCAACAAGGTTTGTGGTTTTTCAAACTGAAGTCACAGCTTTATACATTTTCAGTGAAATCTTTAGGTTTAACAAAGGAGCCGAAGCTGGTGTGGTTGTGTATTATGAGCGTCTAATTTGATATCCCTCTTTTACGACTGCTGAAATGAGAGCTTTAGAATACAAATTCATAGTTTGCCTGAGACTCGTTTCACAATCGTTGGTTTGATGACTGCCAACCTGTGGTTAAGGCTTCCGCACTGAACGGAGGAACTCAAGAGTTTGCTTTACTTTGGCCCTGACTCTGTTCATTTACAAACCCAATTTTTCTATTCAATACACAATGATTAATCTGTTGCAAAATATACACAACTTTCCCTCCATATCATGTGTAATAACTTGAATCATTAGTCAGAAACATTAAAGACAAGATTATATCCATAGAGTGACTACTATTACCCACTGACAATACTTCTGAAAGGGTAAACAAGGGTTAGTCTGAAGTTTGACACTTATCATGCCTGACTATATCACCAAAATAAAGTCACCCCAGAGATAGAAGTTCAGATAGATGAGATAGAAGTGCGTGGCTGAAAGAGTGTGATGCCTTCAGCGTAGAGCGAGTGATGGGAGGTGTAGGGTCAGAGAGTGTCTGGTCTGCTGTATTGCTTTTGTATTGTTCTTTTTGACATTGTCAGTGTTGAGTGGGTGATGGGGGTTTGCTGAATTCAACCTTGTTTTAAAACTCTGGTCAATCTGTCTTTTTTTGTTCCGTAAAAAAATGAACTAAACATAATATTTGTTTTATTTATTTTATTCTAGTGCTTAAAATGTTAGCATTGGTCTTGACGACTTTTTTTTTAAATGTGTGAATTGAACTGGAACATTATAACCCTTTAATGGCAAAAGTACAAAAAAACCAAGTGATAGAGATATTACTGTTTATTTATATAGCGCATTTCACAGACCAAGGTACAGACCCAAAGCGCTTTACAATGTTCAGAGTCAGATATTGTTCCAATCCTTCCACACACGGTGATGACAGAAGCGAGTCCAGAACACACTGGACCATCAGCTCCAACACCATCCATTCACTCTCTCATTTACATTCAGACCTATTGTGCATGTTTTTAGTGGTAGGGGAAACCGGAGCACCCGGAGGAAACCTACCAAGACACGGGGAGAACATGCAAACTCCACTCAGAAAGTCCCTGTTCCGACCGAAATTCGAACCCAGGACCTTCTTGCCGCCCACCACACACATGAAAAGATGGAGCTGAGGTCGTTTGGACACTTCCAGGGCTTGAACCTCTCCTGGACACGCTGAGGAACCAACACACTTCCATCATGGTCATGGAAGTGGAAAAGTAAGAGTAATGCTTTTAATTGAAGCTATTCTTACAGATACTAATATAGAATTAGTAAATAAGTCACCTTACAGACAGTTACAAAGCCCTTTCCAAATGTTGTGGGCGTTTTTCCTCTCTCCACACAGTGATGGAGCGCGGCCGTTTGTACACAGGAGGCGTGTGCTACGGCTAATGTGTAAGTTTCTCGTAACCGAAGCACCCAGAGGAAACCTTCGGAGATTGGTATGTAGTGGGTGAACTGATGCATATTTTGTTTGTGTATTCGTTGTTGACAAGGTTTGGCTTTAGTGGCAGGTTCTTATAATCCACCTGCTTCTTCCTGGAGTTCTATCTGAGGCACGTTCATATTAAATTCTTTCGCATAATCACTGTGTTTTTGTTCCAATATCAAATAAATACACTGTAGAAGCTCCTGTTGAAACATGTGAAGGTATTATCCTACCTAATAGTCTGAATTAGAAGAAAAGGTCACATGTGGTTAGGCTCTTACAGTCGTTGGAGAGAATATGACGGATACAGTGATCGTTGTGTTGGTATTCCCCTGGAACTTACTCATATCATGATTCCATTATTTCGCAACATTTTGTAAAGTGCTGCAACAATTCGACAACTAATTTAAATTAAAAATACATTGTCATTGTATTTAGATGTCATTGAACTGTCCAGGCTTAAAATCACACGACAAAATATGTGATTTGCAGGTTTTCTTGAGAAGCCCACCCTTCTTCACACTGAAACCGGGTGGGCTTCTCGAGAAAATAACTAGCTATTAAAATAAAATACAATATATATCAATGCATAACTTCTAACCCAAAATAATGTAAACAAATCAAAGTAAACCCTGGCTCTAAAGCATAATCACTAGTTTTATATATTTTTGGCCTCAGCTTTTTCAGACAGAAAAGTATTAAATTAAATGGTCTAATTTGTCACATTATAAAAAGTAACAACAATATTTTTGTAGAAAAAAACAACAAATTTGTTAAACAAAAAATGGGTACCGCAGCTTTAACTCCATTAGGCCTATACTTTGTAATTATTCATATTTTGATTTGGTCAAATTCATACCAACATTTGCAGAACAATCATTTCAGTTGACTTTCGTTTTAAAAGAAGAAAAAGTGTATTAAAAAAAACTTTGGCTGTTATCAAAATAAAAGTGTGAGGAAACAAAGGAGAGGAGGGTCTGAAGCAGACGGCCCCCTGCACACACATGAAAGGAAAGAGCGATTCAAGTCACTTTATCACCAACACTCTCCCACTGAAGGTAAGCTCTTTCAGATGATCTAAAATGTCTGTGGTTCCATGTTTATGACCAACTCAGTGAAACAGCTCTTACCTGTGCATGTGGAGGCATCTGCTTCACTCAGAGGCCCTTCGTCTCACGCGAACGCACAACAGAGTGATGTTAGAGGGTTATATTTATAACCTGATGGTACACCTCACCACACTCACATAAGGCCTGCTGCCTTTTCAAGTCTGGGGCTCTTGTCTGAGACCGGGCAAAGCGCTGTCACTCAGGTGATAAAAATAAAAACAGAGAAGTTGACAGTCCATCACACTTTGAAGCATTAATCTGTGATGCAGCCTGTGTCTGAAAGTGTTTCCGCGAAAAGAATGTGGCTTTATGTTGAATAAAAATATGCAGAACTATTGTATTCATATGTTTGAATGTGCAAACATCTAGGAAGATCGCTCAACTCAAACTGAAATGTTAATAAATGGGTCTATAAAAAGGAATAGAAGGGAAGAAGTGAGACGGATTAGAATGTTTTTTAATCACAGATGTTTTTAGATTTGGAAAACAAGATATTTTGATATATTCTGAATTGCAATTGTGTGGAACTGTCAAATAAATGTCACATATAAGTTAGATGACAAAACATTTCGCAAGACATAAAAAATCCTGCGAAATGTTTTGTGAATGTCTCTCTAAATGTGATGAAAACTTTTGAAACCAGTAATTTGACGGTAAAAGGCAAGTTTATTTGTTCAAAATTTGGACAAAAATAAATAAAAACGGTACATTTTAAAGAGTGAAGATTCATTAACTAATGTTTCTCACTTCACCAAAGCATGCCAAGGTGAAAGTAGACCTCAAAGCTCGGGTACCTGACTTTCAAACCACAAAAGGTTTTGAGGATGGAATAAAAAGTAGCTCATTCCTCGCGCTCTTAACAGTCAGGTTCTATCACTGGTTTTCACATGCATTTATTTTTAGCCTCTGTCGCATCTTTCGATAAACTTTTCAGAAAGAAAAAAAAAGAGATCTGCCCTCACTCAATCCCAAAAGCCTCAAATAGCAACCGAACATCCAGATACAAAATCAAACCAAGGCCACACTAACACACATTATTAGTTGATTATAACAGAAATTCACCTGCAGTAGTAGTAATATTGTATTGTGCTGAGCCTGTACATTTCATTCATCTGTAAATAAGTAAATTCTTAAATCATGTGCAATGTGCAATACTTGAGAATATCCACTGAACAATGTCACTTTACTTATCTACTTACTACTCTTTTGACTGGTATTGAAGCATTTTAAGCATCTATGGCCAGTTATGCTAGTTAAGAAACACAGCTACTACTTATATATTGTGTGTGCTCCCTGTGTGCTCTTACTACTGTCCTGTCTGTGCGCTGCAACATTGAAATTTCCCCACTGTGGGACGAATAAAGGAACTCTTATCTTATCTTAATGTGGATTAGTAAATCTCATAACAACTTACTTTGTCACTTTACCTGCCATGTCTATTTCAGCACTTTGAGTTGCCTTGAATTGTGCTATACAAAAAAACGTGCCTTGTTCCCCTGTGCACGCTCATAATGATTAATGTGAATTATTTCTACATGTATAATTGTTTTTTTCATATATTTCTTGTTTACCATATTATCTTTAGGTCCGTGTTGTGCTCGCCATGATGCAGTCCCAGGCCCTGATTTTTGCCGAAAATGACGTGAGGCAAAGAGGATTTCGTCGCAAGAGAGAGTTTACCCCTGAAGAGCAGAAAGACAATATCTACTGGGAGAAGCGACGCAAGAATAATGAAGCAGCCAAGAAGTCCAGGGAGAAAAGAAGAAGGAACGACTATGTGCTTGAAAGCTACGTGATGGCTTTGCAAGAGGACAATGCAAGGCTCAAAGCCGAGCTGATGGCTATGAAGATCCACTTTGGTCTGGCCCATTCTGCCGCCTACACTGCCTTCCAGCTCGCCTATGAACATGATCAGGCTCGTAACAGCCCTCACTTTCTGACCCCCCGTTTCGCCCTGGACACCTGGAGAAGTCAAGAATCCCCCTCATGGCTCTGCTCGCAAGCCTTTCACCCAGTTCTGAGGCCAATCCCGCAGACAAGGAGCCAGCACGAAGGGCGTCTGGCTCCCACTCGCTCTTATCTCGGGATGGTCAAGCAGAATCATCTTCGCCGCGATCCTGGGAGAGAGGTTTGGGAAGAAGCTGAGCAACACGTGCCTGGAGTTTGATTCTGCCGAGAAAATAAAACACTTCAGAAAGAAGCTAACACTGGCAAATCTTCCTCCACAAAGCGATAGAAATGATATAAAAGTACGATTGTTAGGCTCGTAAAACATTTGATCTAAAATTCAGTTTAGTTTTGTCAAATGTGGCTTCTTTGGACATGAACAGCAGATATATGTTAGAGGTAGTTGTCATAGCAACCAAAGTAAACAAGGGCCGAAAAAGTTCTGGCCCTTCTACTTCTGTGTGTTGGGTTTTTGATGGATCAGGCCCAGATGTTTGACACCCAATGCTTTTTAATGCTCCCAGAATGATTTTCAATTATTATTATTATTGTGATTGTTATCATTATTGTTAATATTAACTTGGACCATGGGCAATCATGGTCAAGTTTTGGTTCAATCCAAATGTTCACAAAGTTATTGCAGAAAAGACTAGCCACGCTCACATTGAGACGATCACATGAATACAGAGAAAAACCTGCACGGCTAAAGTTTTTTACAGACCACGAAGTAACGTTTCAGGCTTAGTCCCTTCATCAGACACATGTGAAAATAACTCAATCATATCATGAAAATAATGCAAACCTTGGTGTATAATTCTGTTTATAACTCAGGATTACTTTCTGTATATTTTACACTTTTTTCTTCAATGTTTTGTCCCAAACATTGATTGATTGATGAACTATTATTGTTTTCATATTTACTGCAAATTCTCAGCCCCGTTACCATAGTAATGCTAATATTAACATTTAGAACATCCACAAAAAAATATATCTTAGACACAAAACTTGGCACAAACAAAACAATGTAAAATATGATGCATTATTCTGACCAAGTGCATTCCTCGTCAGGATCTGCGTGTTCTGGGTTCTGTGGTTTGAGTTCTGGGTTCTGTGTTCTGAGTTCTGAGTTCTGAGTTCTGTGTTCTGAGTTCTGTGTTCTGAGTTCTGAGTTCTGTGTTCTGAGTTCTGTGTTCTGAGTTCTGAGTTCTGTGTTCTGAGTTCTGTGTTCTGAGTTCTGAGTTCTGTGTTCTGAGTTCTGTGTTCTGAGTTCTGAGTTCTGAGTTCTGAGTTCTGAGTTCTGTGTTCTGAGTTCTGAGTTCTGAGTTCTGAGTTCTGTGTTCTGAGTTCTGTGTTCTGTGTTCTGAGTTCTGAGTTCTGAGTTCTGAGTTCTGTGTTCTGAGTTCTGTGTGTTTAAACTGCAGTCGGACACTTCAGGCTGCTCTGTGGTTCCATTTCATTTAACATTTTTATTCTTTATTAAAAGGAGGGCTTAAGAGAGTTCAAGACTCTTTTCCTGGGCACCCTGTTCCCAAAAATCAACAACAAACATAATAATAAATAGGTAGATATACAAATAGTAATGTAGTGAATTCAAATTCCAACTTGGAAAAATATTGAATGTATTGTATTTTTAATATACACAATGTTTAAAATCTTGCTTTCCAAATTCATTTTCAGAGATCTTCATAAAGTTCCAGTTACACAAACGTCAGATAATCAGCAGATTCTCAATAAGTTCTTTATGAATAAATGTAATTCAATGTTGCTCTCTTCAGAAAACAAAGGCTGATCCATGTTTGCATAAATTCTAAAATGTGAACCCAACACATTATTGATGTGAATAATTAAATATTTTTAAAAAGTTTACATTTACGTGTCTGTCTCTGTTTGTTTAGATATTTCCAATGTTTAAATGTCATGTCATGTATGTAAAAAATATGTAAAACATAATATGATAAAAGAAAACCACATTTAACCTGCCAACCTGCTCCTATTCTTTTAAACTCAAAAAAATGCTAAATGAGTTTGACAGGCCTGCCTCAGGTAAAGAAGAGGAGGTGACTCTTTCAAAGCCTCATTTTGAGAAGATTTAAACCTGTTCATTTGAAACATGTCTGAGAGAATGTATGTGTAAACGTGTGTTCTTAGAGTTTGCACTAAACTGACCAATTAAACTACTTTACATTCAATACTTTAAAATATGTATTTTAAATGTAAAGCTGTTTGCACTGAGGGTTCTGTTTTCCTGTCATCTTCCTTCCTTGTGTGACCGTTGTGGGTCAATTGTATTTTTAGCATAAAAGCTGCAAATATGACCTTGTTGGCAATAGATTGATTTGTGGGTGGTTTGGTTGTGTGATGTATTAAAGTAGATATATGTAAATGTTTTAAAAATGATTAACAAAAATCACATACAACAAACAGTGCAACAGCGCCATCGAGTGGAGAACAATCATACAGCAGCTGAATTATGTTAATATTATACTGTTATTACTGTGTAGCTGGGAATAAAGAGTTGGGTTAAAATGTATTGTGTGACACGAGTACTGCGTTCTGAATACTTTGGATACTTTGTTGATTTGCTTATAATTCTAAAGTTGAAACACACCACATGCACCTTGGTTTTGTGTTATTTTTAAATAGAAAAGTGTCAAACGCTCTATAGCTTCATTAATAAAAGTTTTAAAATAATGTGTGCAAAAACATGTTCAGTTGTAGTTTTTTTCTGCATCTTTTCACAAATCCCAAAAGTGACACAGAAACATGTATGTGTCATTTTGGTACATAAACACATTTTATCATTCTTAATCATTGTTTAAGAGGTGTGATGTGAGATTACGTATTAAGACCCCCTCCTAAAAGAACAAAATACGATACACACAAAAGGACAAAGACTTTCTCTGAAACAATGTTCTTATTGTGTTGATAGCATCGAGTGATTTTAAAAATAATAACAAAATAAAAGATTACAAATGAAACTGCAACATCACAGTGAAAGGTCACGTCACTTATCAACATTAAAAGCAAAATGAATGAGAAAAGAGAGATGGCTGCAGTAAAAAGGCGACGGTAGACATCATATCTGATAAGAGCATGCTTTATAAATAGCTTAATTTATAAAACAATACAAAACAGTCCAGACACAATGCTCCATATATTACAACATGTTAAAACGGAACCTTCTTCACAATGAGCAGTCCGCACTTAGAGGTTGTGGTTGTTAAAAATGTGTGGCTTAGGCTGAAGTTCGATCAGAATGCACTGTGCACTGTGGGCACTAGGGGGCAGTGTAGCAGCAGCTAACAGCACGTAGGAACCATAGGAACCATCAAATCAACAGAAGGAAAAAACAAAGATAAGACTTTATAACTTGAATTGGCGAATAGATTAACAGCTGAAAGTAAAAAAGAAAGTAAAATAAATAAATAAGTAATAAGCTAATTAAAATAACACGTTTGTTTATGGATGAGGCTCAAATAAGAATCTTCTTAAAGAGCGACTAAACACCAGACCATAAACTGCAAAAATATGTTTATTGTAGTGCTCTCTACATATCCTGGTCATTTTTTTTGACATTTTAGTGCAAATTAAATAAAATCTCACTTTTGAGCCTAAAAACGTCTGTGTGGCGCCCTCTCAACCTCTCCGGTGGTACTACATTTGAATTTGGTCCTGGCCTCTCCATTGACTCTGTAATTTTGTGTGACGTACAGTTGGTGTGCGTGACGTCAGTTGGTGTGCGTGACGTCAGTTGGTGTGTGTGATGTCAGTTTGTGTGTGTGACATCAGTTGGTGTGTGTGACGTCAGTTGGTGTGTGCTGGCCCGGACTGGCCATCGGGAGCATCGGGAGATCTCCTGGTGGCCTGCGTGTCAAAGTGGCCTGGGCCTGCCCTATCATCACGGTTTTTTGTTTGTTTTTGTTTTAATTTAATTTCATCCTCACGGTCTTTGCAAACTCCTACACTGCCTGGTGGCCTGGTCCAATGAGCAAGGCCCAGGCCAAAGAAGCTTTACTGTCATTGGGCCAGAGCAAAATTAAACAAATGTGACGTCACACGTCGGCTACACAGCCAGGCCAGCCTAGCAGTGCGCCCAGTGTAGCTTCCCCGGTTGAAATGAGTGGTCTCTCCAACTGATGGTTCATACACGTTTTTATTTTTCCTTTTATATGAGCTGTAACGATGTGATTTTACCTTACTACTTTTTTAACAATAATTGATTAGCTTGTTATAGTTATACACTAATGAACACTTAGTTCATTGTGTGTGTGTGTGTGTCTTTATTCTCACTAAACTCCATAAACGTTACGTTGCTAAGCAACGTACAACAATCCTTAAACGTCCGAGATTATATAAACAGTCAATATAAAAAAAAATAAAGAAAACAAAAGTTTTGACAGTCAATCTTAAAACTATTAAAAGAACATCAAAATACAATGACAAAAACACAAATTTAGAACCTTGTTTGGCCTGAATGGATGAAAAGCTCCCGGCCTGAAATGTTGTCCCACTCCGGCCCTGGGTGTGTGTGATGTCAGTTGGTGTGTGTGACGTCAGTTGGTGTGTGTGTGACGTCAGTTGGTGTGTTTGACGTCAGTTGGTGTGTGTGTGACGTCAGTTTGTGTATGTATGACGTCAGTTTGTGTGTGTGACGTCAGTTGGTGTGTGTGACGTCAGTTGGTGTGTGTGACGTCAGTTGGTGTGTGTCACGTCAGTTGGTGTGTGTGACGTCAGTTTGTGTGTGTATGACGTCAGTTTGTGTGTGTGACGTCAGTTGGTGTGTGTGACGTCAGTTGGTATGTGTGACGTCAGTTGGTGTGTGTGACGTCAGTTTGTGTGTGTATGACGTCAGTTTGTGTGTGTGACGTCAGTTGGTGTGTGTGACATCAGTTGGTGTGTGTGTGATGTCAGTTGGTGTGTGTGACGTCAGTTGGTGTGCCTGATGTCAGTTGGTGTGCGTGACGTCAGTTTGTGTGTGCGTGACGTCAGTTTGTGTGTGTGACGTCATTTTGTGTGTGTGTGACGTCAGTTTGTGTGTGTATGACGTCAGTTTGTGTGTGTGACGTCAGTTGGTGTGTGTGACGTCAGTTGGTGTGTGTGATGTCAGTTGGTGTGTTTGACGTCAGTTGGTGTGTGTCACGTCAGTTGGTGTGTGTGACGTCAGTTTGTGTGTGTATGACGTCAGTTGGTGTGTGTGACGTCAGTTGGTGTGTGTGACATCAGTTGGTGTGTGTGACATCAGTTGGTGTGTGTGTGACGTCAGTTGGTGTGTGTGACGTCAGTTGGTGTGTGTGACATCAGTTGGTGTGTGTGTGACGTCAGTTGGTGTGTGTGACGTCAGTTGGTGTGCGTGACGTCAGTTGGTGTGTGTGACGTCAGTTGGTGTGTGTGATGTCAGTTGGTGTGTTTGACGTCAATTGGTGTGTGTCACGTCAGTTGGTGTGTGTGACGTCAGTTGGTGTGTGTGACGTCAGTTGGTGTGTGTGTGACGTCAGTTGGTGTGTTTGACGTCAGTTGGTGTGTGTCACGTCAGTTGGTGTGTGTGTGACGTCAGTTGGTGTGTGTGACGTCAGTTGGTGTGTGTGACGTCAGTTGGTGTGTGTGTGACGTCAGTTGGTGTGTGTGACGTCAGTTGGTGTGTGTCACGTCAGTTGGTGTGTGTGACGTCAGTTTGTGTGTGTATGACGTCAGTTGGTGTGTGTGACGTCAGTTGGTGTGTGTGACATCAGTTGGTGTGTGTGTGACGTCAGTTGGTGTGTGTGACGTCAGTTGGTGTGCGTGACGTCAGTTGGTGTGTGTGACGTCAGTTGGTGTGTGTGATGTCAGTTGGTGTGTTTGACGTCAGTTGGTGTGTGTCACGTCAGTTGGTGTGTGTGACGTCAGTTGGTGTGTGTGTGACGTCAGTTGGTGTGTTTGACGTCAGTTGGTGTGTGTCACGTCAGTTGGTGTGTGTGTGACGTCAGTTGGTGTGTGTGACGTCAGTTGGTGTGTGTGACGTCAGTTGGTGTGTGTGTGACGTCAGTTGGTGTGTGTGACGTCAGTTGGTGTGTGTGTGATGTCAGTTGGTGTGTGTGACGTCAGTTGGTGTGTGTGACGTCAGTTGGTGTGTGTGACGTCAGTTGGTGTGTGTGCACCAGTGATATAAACCCATCCAACTCTCACACACACACAGCAGCAGGTAGGAGTATTCTGGCGACATCTAGTGGATTAAATTTAAATTACATGAGTTGAAGCCACTGCTGCTGAGATAATTCTGTGGCTTAGGTTCAGGTGTGTAGCTCTACAATTACTTTAGTGTGTAAACAAATGTGGAATGAGACTTTCTGGTGTGTAAACTATTTAAGCAGCAATGACAACTGTCACTTTTTGTGTGACAAGTGAGCTGTCAATCACAGCCCAGACCACACCCAATTCTAAGCCCCCCTTCTTGTCCCTTGGTCCCCCAGGCAACACCCTTTTAAGAGAAAAATTTCAAATGTTCATGTGGGCGGAGTCAGGCTGGGCACAGATGTTTAGTCGCTCTTTGAGTAGTAGGCATCAGATATCAGTACCAATATGGACATTTTGTGTGAGGGTAATCATATCGGTTCAGGCGATGTCTTGAGTAAGTTTTTGTATTAATGTAATATTATAAATGAGATTCTGGGTTGATATTAGCCCAGAATGTAATACAATGTATAATGCTGGATTCAGTCGCTTCACTGATATCGGTTCATCCTGGGTCGATTGAAGCCAAAGTATCGAGATCAGTATCAGACTTGAAGAAAGCTGGATTGTGGCATCCCTCGTCCTTGGCCTCAACGTTCACAATAAAAAAAGTGGATTGTTCCAAAGTGAAATAGTGTGTGCAGTGCAGTGGGCCTGTCGTGGCCTCTCCTATGCTCTCATGATGGGGGAGCAGCCACGTCTCAGTGCAATATCAGTGTGATGAAGCAGAGTGTGAGGGGGTGAACGCTCTGGGACTCCTGGTGATTGATTTGAAAGGGCACCTTTAACTAGAGACTCACTTCTATCAGATTAATCAACAACAACCACAAATATTCTGTTTTTAACCATCACAAAAAGTCACTTCTTCACAGATTTGTTAAATGTAAGTAAGCCTTTTTAACATGAGAGTAGGATAAATACAACCACCATTTACAAATAGAACATTTATAAATACAATGGAGAAATATTACAGGTACATATGGTAAAAAAAAAAAAGTTTGCAAAGCTGTGTAATGGATGCGGCTATTGTTTGTAAGTTATTGAAGTGGTGCTTTGGATCAATCTTGGCAGTGGTAGAATATAGACTGTTGCTATTTGTCAAAGTACCAGTGAATAGAAGATAAAGAATAGTAGCCAACCCATTAGAATAAAGTTCCAAGGCTTTGGGATGTATGATGCACAATCCAATTCATAATAAAAAACCATGTATTTAGATGTTTAATACAACTATGGCAACTCGGGATAGGAACATGTTTTTAAGAATTTCTAAAAACTAATTTCTAGTTGGCAAAGGGTCCATAATCATTAAATATATATTAATAAATGTATGCTTATATGTTTTGCACCTTAGTCTATATACAATAATTTGAAGTCCCAGTATATTAAATGTATAGACATTATTTAAAGTCATTTGAGTAGAAAAGGTCCTTTTGATGCCTGTAGCTCGACAAAGCTTGTAAACATGATTTGGTAAAAAAGGTCCGTTCATATCATCTTCATGTTGAACTTGCGCGCCCCGCCCTGTCCTCCACTGGCTGCCGGCCCGTCCACCTTTCTGAAAGAATACTCCACAGAGAAGTTGTTTTTGTGCTGGCCTTTGCCTCGACTCCACACAAACAGCAGAATGAAACAGAACAGCACCACTCCTAGGAACATGATGCAGCCCATGGCAGTGGATATAAGAATAGTTTTTAGATCAAGGGTAAACTTTAAAAGGACTTTTGTATCATTTAGATTAGTGTCGTTCATGTCTCCAGTGTAGTAAGTACGGTTCGCCATGAGTGCGGCATCCAGAGGCAGCCCACTCACTGTTAGAGTTGCAAAGTAAGTGTCGTTTCCTCCCGCGTTACTGGCTATGCAGATATATGTGCCACTGTCTGTGACTTGAGCGTAGCGTATTTCCAAAGTCCCCTCTGGCAAGACAGTGAGGCGGCCTGTGCTCTTCGTGGTGATGCGGCGGCGCTGAGGCGAGATCCAGAATATAACAGGAGTCGGTTCACCATCTGCTCTGCAAATGAAGGACACCACCTGTCCCTCGCGGGCACTTATCTGCTGCAGTTTCCTGTTACGGATTTTGGGCTTTTGACAAGTAAAGTGTTCAAAAAGAGCTGAGTCTGAGAAAGCAGAGAGCCCCCTGCCTTGCACCTCCACAGGTGTTGTACACACCGGGGGGGCGTTGTCAAAGTTTAGAGTCTTCCTGCGCTGGAGGATCCACAGTAAGCGGCAGTCACAGGCTAAAGGGTTCCCATCCAATCGCACTGTCTCCAGAGTGTTGACTGACTGGAAGGCCCCCTCTTCCAGGGTCACGAGGTTGTTAGTGGAGAAATTAAGGAGTCTGATTTGTCTGAGTCCTCCCAGTGCATATGGCTGAACTGTGACAAGGTTAGTGTGCACTAAATGCAGCTCCTTAAGTCTGACCAGGTCTCGCAGGGCCCAAGACTCCAGCACAGTGATGGGGTTATAGGAAAGGTCGAGACTTGTGAGATGGGCCAGACTGCGCAGGGCAGAGGTGGGGACAGAGGTGATGTTGGTGTGTGTAATAGACAGCCAGGACAAGTTTAGACCCTGCAAACTATGAGGGGAGATGTACTCTAAAAAGGGCCAGTGGTCGATTTCCAAACCCCTCAGATTACCAAGTTTACGGAAGTTCTGATCTTCTAAGGCAGAAATGCTGAGGTAGCGAAGCCGAAGGGTCACCAGATTGTGCAGGTACGACAAAGACTGACTGGACACAGAGGTCAGGTTACATCGTTCAATGGTCAGCTCCCGGAGTCCTACCAGACCCAGAAAAGCCTTGTTTGAGATATACACTAAATCGTTGTCGCCAACTTCAAGATTTCTTAGACTTTTTAGGTCTTGGAAAGTAAAGTCCAACAAAATTACAATTTTATTACCGCTCAGGTCCAATGAAGTTAAGTTGGTAAGCCGTGAGAAGGCTCCCATGGGTACCAGTTTCAACTGGTTTCTACGAAGAGACAGAGACTGCAGATTCTGTAGACTTGAAAATGCATTGGGTTCAAGCACACTAATCATGTTGTCACTCAGGTCCAACTTTTCAAGGCGAAAGTAGGCCAGCAGGTCCCCATGTTCCACCCAGCGAAGTTTATTAGCACTCAGATCCAAGATTTTTGTGTCTGAAGGAATGCCCTCAGGGAGCGCAGTCAGTTTTTTATCATTACAGGACACCGTCTTGAGCTTGGAGATGCACTCACATCGCTGGGGACACCCTTGGCCTACGGCGGGCGACACGGCGACCATAACCAGGAGGAAGAGTATTGCCAGTGTCCAGCAGACATCCTGGTTCAGACACACTGCCATGGCCTTCAGTGCACCTTGTAGTGGGCTGCAGTCAATTTAGAGGGTCAGACACCTGAAAGCAAAAACAAAAAACAAAAAATGAGTAACTAGAACACACACTCAGAGAGGGCATTCCCCGCCAACGCCACAGATTGTGCCAAAATAGGGGGTTCCTAACATCATATCCCATTTACAAAATCCAATCTCAGCCAGTTCATCCAGACACACACACACGTGATCACATTACCCCTAGGAGATAAAAAGGGAGGAGAATTGACAATGATTCAAGGGAAACATTGAGAACAATTGCAATCACACACTTTAATTGAGCCTGAACTGTGACATTAAAGCACTCGACATCCACAAAGGCCTTTGTCTGCTCTGACAATGGTTCTGTGAGCCTGCTAAAGCAGCTGACGTTTGAGCCGTGCCAATTCATAAAATCCCTTGTAGTCATGAAACCATTTTATCCAATCTATGACATTACCAAGAGTAGGCTGCTGTTTTCAGTACACCAAATATGTCGACTATGATTAGCAATTGCAGATCCTGAAAGGCATTGCAACACAAGTCTAAACATAAACCTAAAATAAAAGCAGTGCACTCTAAGTGCAAAGACTCATGCATTCAGCCAAACACAAGCACAACAGAAGCTGACTGTATGCGGCGCCTGGAATGTGAGTTGAGAGGTAGACAGCTTTATAGAGGTCTTTGACAACAGCAGTCAGAGGCAGGGGGCGTGATTCAGTGCTCCACAATAACTCCATCATATCAGCTGCATAACAATAAGCGCAGGGCACTTGGTCAAAACTGACCTGCATTGGACTCGTATAACATCTGTGGTCCTACACGCATAAATATATATTTAATATTATACTGGTCACTGATAAGAATGTATATCATGATTCCTGGCAGGTCAACCAGTAAACTCTTGATTTTAATCTGCTTTAACTTGTTTGCACCGAGAGCCAAAGTTTGTGACTTCCTGTTACTCACATGACAATAAAAGGATTCTGACTGATTCTGAAAAATCTTCTTTGTGACACGTTTCATGACAAACTTGATTAAGAAATTAAATAATGATTTTGCTAGTTTGTTTTATTGATTTCATTTGAAGCAATGGGACAATACACATACAGTACTAAGACAGTGAGAGTATATAGATAATAAGGGTCAAATGTGTTGCAATTCAAAGTTTGGGCAGATGCCACGGACATGCCACTAACTAACATTGAAAGAATGTGGGAAGAGTTCTGTGGGATTTATATTTAGAACAGAGTACTGTGAAGACATTTATCAGAAATGAGATCTTCATAAGTTTAGCTGTTGACAAGTAATAATATTTCATTAGACTAATATTTTAATAACATATACAGCATTTAACAACAGAATTGGCAGCAATTGCAAGTTGTCTTACCTCAATCTTGATTATATTTTACGTCATTTCAGAAATGAGCAGAAAGAATACATCAAAGAATATCTCATGAATCATACTAATTTGAAGATATGCCGGATATTTAAGTCTGTAAAGACTGCGAACCCATATCCGCAGCAGGCTCTCAGTCGGCCATACAGGTCGCAGGTGGACAGGTCTGAAAGCAGTAAGTGTCCTGCTCTGTGAGGCTTCTGTTACCTGCAGTAAGCACCGGTCCAAAATAACACTCATCCATTTCATAACAGAGTGTGGGTCAGACGGCACGTGCTTGACCTTTGGAGGAAGTGACCAATAGATAAACATTCTTTTCCCAACAGCACGACATGGAGAGGATTTTATTTCACTTTCATTATAGACACTTCACTGTATGTGTCAGTACTTCAGTATGGGGAAATGTTAATAATATTGGGTCCTATGTCACAGAGGTATATGATAATAATGACCACATAAGCACTTTCAAACGGCCTGATATAAAACAACACATATATAGATGAATTAAACAGACAAGTGATAAACACTGTTATCCCTCTCTGCTCGGGTCCTCTACCAGAGGCTTCGGAGCTTGACGGTTCTGCTCTTCTTAGCACTGCACATTTCTGGACCGAGATTTCCTAAGTTGTTCCAGGGATCTGCTGTAACCGTTCCTCCAGCTTCAGGGTCACTGGGGATCACCACGGGCACTACTGTCTACTAACCTTCTGGGCCCTCTCCAGCTTTTTGTGTTTTTTTTTCCTGATGCTGTCATCACTTGGAATTGCCACGTCCACCACCGCGGCTTTCCTCTGCCCTTTGTCTACCACCACAATGTCAGGTTGGTTTGCCATTACAATTCGGTCGGTCTGTATCTGGAAGCCCCACAGGATCTTTGCACACTCATTCTCCACCACCTTTAGAGGAGTTTCATACACACGCTCTCTCTCGGCACTCATACCGTTTACTCCAAGGCGCGCTCCCGTGTCCGCCACACACCCCCACACAAACACACATACATGTTACCCACTAAGCTGCTGAAGATTGGAAAAAGACATCTCATACTTGTACACATTGACTCTCAATTGATTGAAAAGAACTGGATCCATGCTGGAGCTGGTTGGTGCACAGAAGCCTAGTGTAAACAGGAAGAGAAACGGAAACTTCACAAATATAATATATATTGGCTGAATATGGTAAAATGGCTCAAATATGCATCACCATTTTGTATGTGGGAATGACAAAAAAAGAATTATGATGTGAATGTCTTTGAATTCTTTTGTTTATGAATGTGAGTGTGTCTTGGAACAGCCTGTAACAGACAGATTTATTTGAAAATAACACTTAAGACAAACACTTTAATTCTGTTGTCATGACAGCACTGTTATCACTGCTCTGCTGAATCGCATGGCGCTCTAAAATACACCTTTGCTCTCCATCTCCAGCTGCCTGCAGAACCTCCAGCCTCATTAAGGACATCAAGGACAAATCCTGACATTTCACATGCACACAATGGCTCCATGATAAGCTCTCATTGCCTCTCTAACACAGTTTACAGTAGATTAAAATATATGCGTTTTCTAGCATTGTATGATTCAAATGTTTCACAATAATTATAATAGAGTGGCTAAAGTGAAGAATGGAAAAGCTCACTGTCCTGTATTAGTGAAATATGATGGGTCAGATTATTACAGTCTTACTTTTGGAAAGGGGATTTATTTGATTGTAATCTAATTGGTTAACTGCTAAAATAGTTCATGGCTGTCCTGAAGTCATGTTAGTCAGTTAATCATTTAAAGTAGGCTTCATTCTGAAATACTCTCCAAGATAGATGGAAGTATAGTGAGTGGGTTTAAGAACATATTTAAAATACAGCAATTACGTTCACAGGTTAGCTATGGCAACTGGGCCATATTTAGACTGGTGTGGGCTGGAGACCGAGGAGAGCATGTTCTGCCACTTCTGCGATGATAGGCACTCAGACTTTTCCCCGTGAAGGAGAAAGACAGGACAGCTGCCCTTTTCAGCCACCACTGGGCAAGAAACTTTCAAATGTACATGTATGAATACTGTATATATGCAAATGGAATTGCCCTTTGGGATTTAAGGGCTGCACAATTGTGGTAAAATATCTAATATGCAGTTTTGTATATAAACTTTGAGATTAGGTTTGCTAAATAGATTTTAGTTTTGGTTACACTAGATGAGCCAATCATCGATTATATGAATGCTTTCAGTAATAAGAATGGAATGGTTAGTTAGTTTAATTATGTAATTTTCAAACTTTATCTAAGAAAATGTTCCATAAAAACTTAAAGTAAAGGACAAGCGGTCTCTGAATCTTTCTGAAAATGAGGGTAAATAATGCTACTGCGCTAAAGATCTATTGGGATATCTTAACTTAATTTGAAATATACATAACTGTCTCTGACGTTCCATTGTTCACAAAGGAGTTTTATGAATGAAATCCTTTGACCTCTGCGACCCACTCAAACATGCTATTTGGTTCAATAGTGATTTATCTTGTAGTCCAGTGCACAATATTGACTATTTACGCTGGTCAAGTCCATTCGGTGCAGTAAATCAGGTGCCTTCTGAAACTGCCCTGTGCCAACAAGTGGTTAATGCTAATCTTTATCTGATTGTGTGAATTTGTCCAAGCTAAACTGTTAAGAACCAGCATTAACAAAATCAAATCGATTGATTGACATGAGCCTCATTTTATTGTGTTTTTTCAGTGCCGTTCTCGTCAGTGGTGCAGGTGCAGGACATGGCTGACAAATGAGCGCTGGTGTGTTGGAGAGTGGGTGGGCGTTCAGTGGAGCGCTCTCCAGAAAGACTCACATTCTCAGCTCCTCAAATGGCTGCACTGCCCACTCATCACACTTTACATAAGCTCTGCACTAGTGTCCCCCGGAGAAAAACACATTAGTCACTTTACACAGAGGGAGTCCATCGCCCTGCAGGCTCTGAGCGGCTACACCCTGGGGCCCGTGGCAGTATGGAGCCCATGTGTGACGCGCAAAGAGGTCATTTAGTATGGACGATCACCTGACAAAGTCTTTTTCTGTCCTGTAACGGAGCCTCGCAGCGCAGTGATGGATGGTTTTTACTGGTATTGTCGTGCCATACACCGAAGGCAAGGACAGCATTATGATAGTGAACAAAAAGCAGGTCAGTGCAAGGACTACACTGAATGTCAATACTAACATCAACCAAAATGATGAATGGAGTATATACTGAGCCAACTATTTTTTTATTTGCTTTATAACACAGATTTGATGAGAAAGGCGTACTATAAATCCTTGCTTTTAGAGGAATAAAATCATGGTTTTAAAAGTGCAAAATAGATTCTATACAACTACAGATAAATCTAGAATATGTTCATTTATTTTCTGTAATTTGCCTTAAAATGTGAATCCAGTATGTGTGGTTCGGATCCCTCTCTCATTGCTGACATCCCCGAAGTTTCTCACTTTTCTCCCAATGGGTTTTAGACTTTTTCCTTCTGTCGGACTGATCCAGGACACTCTTTTTCTACAATATGTATGGACATTTATTAACATTCATGGACATTGGTCTCTCCTATGGACCAATGGAGTTGGAGTTGATGACT